TATTAACGATTATCGTTTGATACTTTTCATTATATTGGTAATTATCATTCGATGTTTTCTATTATATTGACTACTATCATTTGATGCTCTCTATTATATTGATGATTATCATTTGGTGCTTTCTATTAAATTGATAATTATCATCCGATGTCCTCTATTATACTGATAATTATCATTCGATGCTCACTATTAAATTAATAATTATCATTCGAATTAATAAATGAAATCACCAACGGTTGAACGTCGGGTGCGTGCCTGGGCCGGTCACACGGTTGCATCACACTCAATTTGAAGGCTCAGGTGCGTTTTGCGGGAATTGATATTTATCAACAAAGAGCATGAGCACAACAACACTGGGACATAATGGCTAATATACATAGACAACACGGCTACAACACGGAACACGGGACAACACGGCTACAAGAGAGCAACAACACGGGGACAGCACAGCTGCAACACGGCTGTAACATGGCTAAAACTGCTGCAACACGGAACAACACGGCTACAACACGGACAACACGGCTACAAGAGAACAATAACACGGCTACAATACAGCGCTAACACAGCAAAAACACTGTATTTACACCTGCATAAAGGAATAAAAATGCAACAGGCGTCAATGGATGAGAGCGGAAGAAGCCATTAATTGAAAAGCAATGGTATGAATTTTAAGCTTATTCTTAGAGCGAATAAAGCAAATTTGCTGCAAGCAATAATGAATTTCCACCAAAAATTTACCGTGAATAACTTGACCGTAACAATAACAGCTCAGTTGTCTATACAAATTTTTAATGGGTGAAAAAAATATTGTATTCTAAATCTATATTTCAATGAAGAAAAAAAACTAATATTAAGCAACTTACTGAAAACTTAAGTTGTGTCCTAAAAAACCAATGGGTGTTTGCAATATACCATTTTTTTCGTCATTAACGTGTTAATGCTGGTCGAATTAAAGTAAACAACTGCATAATTAGAAAATCAAAGCGAAAGCATGTGCACAAATTATAATTAAAGACCAGAACGTCGTTAATGAAAATTAAACTAAAGAGTATATATTATTGCATCAATGAGTGAACATTACAGGAAACCTACCATAGTCTTGAGATGTGTACATAATAAAGGTAGAACCTAACTACATAAATCTCATGATTACGTGAGCCAAGTGAGGAACTCCCAAGACGGTTTCCGCGTATGGCGAAACTGCGAATTTAATGGACACCGCTGAGCCGTAATTAACGAGCCTGCAACCCGTAACACTGCGAGCCTGCAACCCGTCCCTAGAGCCGCAACACTGCGAGCCTGCAACCCGTCCCTAGAGCCGCTGCAACACTGCGAGCCTGCAACCCGTCCCTAGAGCCGCTGCAACACTGCGAGCCTGCAACCCATCTCACGTTAGGAACAACACTCTAACAAAGGTACGAATGTAAAATTTGTTAATGGGCTAAAAATTTATATTGATATCCAAGACTTACATATTTACAATAAGCGTTTGAGGTCACGAATTTTTTTTTTTTCAGAAAATTACTTAATGCTTCGTCTTTTTTTATAGAAGCTGGGCTCGGTATAATGCAACCCTTGCATCATGGGGTTAGGTCAGGACTCACTTCCGAATTACAAGATGGGGACTCACTTCCGAATGGGGACTCACTTCCGAATTACAAGCAAAATAACAGTCAGAGTTTTCTTCAAATATTAAAAAGTTCGTGTTAAACTCTAAACACTTTTTTAAGCAAGTTAACTGGAGCAACTAAACTTCAATGGGTGACGTCATCTGATGACTTCAAAGCTGGCACATGCGTTCCTTATACAGGGTGACACAAAAAAAACAGAGCTCATAAAAAGTTGAATAATTTCCACAATACTCAAGTAATCCTGTTATTTGTTTCAGATTCATTAAGAAGACGGATTGATCTAAGAGTCTACCACGTGTGAGCTTCGAGATGCCTTGGACTACAGAGCAAATATCTTTGAGCGGCTGTAGAACAAAGAGTTTTTGTGGTATAGAATTGAGATTTTGCAGATGTTGGCTACATAGGTTGTACATAATTCCATAGAATTTTTGTTTCAAACTGAATAAAATTTCAGGAGTTATAAGACTTTTAGTGAGCTCTGTTTTTTTTGTGTCACCCTGTAGCCTGTCATGCGGGTTTCTGAATTGTTCTCTTACGATTCGAAGTGGTTCAAAGAGTGAACCCTAGAGTCATTGGGTTCACCTTTGGGTTCATTTTAGAACCGGCAGGGTCGGAGCATCAAGACGTCCCGCGCTGTCATCCGCAAACGTCGCGAGACAAAACCTAAACCGCGGAACCGTTCCGAGTTCATCCAATTTCCGGCGCCGAGATCATCCCCCGACCTGGCGTGTCAGGGGTGATCGAGTGCACGCAGATTACTTCGATCACGCGCGCTCTAGATCATTCCCAGCATTCGATCTTGCGTTCTACAGATCATTCACAGCATTCGATCTTGCGTACCCTAGATCATTCACAGCATTCGATCCCCTTCATTAATAGCTACAGTCTTGTTGGCAAGCTATTCGCACGATCGTTATTTTGACCTTGCATGCGATAGATCATTTCACTTCGTCAATATTCTTCATAAAATACCTTTTTTTGTTAATCGAGCACACATAGGTCTTTTTAAATTCCAACATAATCTCAACCAAGTTACACACTTTTTCAATTTTCATTCAGGCGCCGCATAAGCAGCATAAACAGATCGTTTCACGATTGAGTGGCAGAGGTCACATTTCGGTTGACGATCCAGATCGGTCAATCGGTCACAGTGTAACCGGTAACATTTGAATTGTTATGGATCTAATGAAATTATTCATTATGGTAAAACCTGATAACTTCGATATACCGAGCAGTAGAACCGCGACTGCGTATCTATATTTTTCTTCGGCACCAAAGTCATATCAGGAGTCGATGGAAACAAGCGATTGCCGAATTAGAGGCCCTCAATCCCGGCAAAAGCGCACCAACAAGAAACAAACACACAAACGAGAGAAACAAACTAAATTACAAACAGTTAGGTTTTATAAAATATACGAGAAACATAGAGACTTAAGAATCACACGGTTCAAACACACAACAACGGAGCCATCACGTCACAAGACAAACATATCAAAATGCGGTGACTTTTAGACTTGGAATAACACGGAACTTCTCGCAGACGTAATATAGGGCACAAATAGGTGTAAAGTTGATCCAGCAAATTGTATAAAGTTGGTCCAGCAAACTAAATGAAGTTGGTCCAGCAAGTTTCATGAAGTTAGCCCAGCAAATTGCATCAAGTTGTCCCAGCAAATTGCTTGAAGTTGACCCAGCAGGTTGCGTGACGTTGGCCCCGTAATTCACATGAAGTTAGCTCAGCAAATTGCATGAAGTTGGCCCAGCAAACTTCATGAAGTTGTCCCAGCAGGTTGCGTGATGTTGGCCCCGTAATTCACATGAAGTTAGCTCAGCAAATTGCATGACGTTGGCCCAGTAAATTGCATGAAGTTGGCCCAGTAAATTGCGTGAAGGTGGATCAGTAAATTGCGTGAAGGTGGCCCAGTAAATTGCGTGAAGGTGGATCAGTAAATTGCGTGAAGGTGGCCTCAGCAAATGGCATGCAATTATTTCAAAAGATTACACAAAATTGACTCCGTATCTTACGTTAAGTTGTATCCGCAGATGTCATGAAGTCCTCTCAACAGATGCCAGGAAATTGGGCCCTCCAATAAACTAAAATTTCACCCTAAAAGTTGTCTGATCCAACATAGTATCATAAAGTTGGCACTACAAAGAGGCATGAAGATGGCCGTATGTGTGGGTGTGAAGTTTGGTCGCACAAATTTGTTTATTAAAGACAGGATTGAGGAATTAGTCGTACAGTCGTAGCTGAAGAAACCATAACCGGGCCATCGTTGCCAGGCCTTCGCCCTGCCCTAAGCCTTATAGAGACCTTGGGCATGGCTACACATCATATGGATAACTACATATGGATAACTCCATGTGAATCATATTGATTTGTAATATACATAGAACTGTGACATACATGGGCATGTGGACAATTGAAGGTCACGTCAGATATGCCGTTTGGTTTGGCAGCAATACGATGTACAAGGGCGAAGCATTATTGCAGCATTTAAGGTATTTATTGCAGCATTTAGCATGTTTATTTCAGCATTTAAGGTATTCATTGCAGCATATAACGTATTTATTGCAGCATTTAGCGTATTCGTTGCAGCAATTACAGCATTTTACTATTTTCTTTTTGATGTAGAACACACAGAGCACATTATATCTATATAATTCCACCATATATCTCTGTACTTGCTCAACACGCTCGTAGTCGAATTCATTGACCAGTCCGACACGTTCTCATAAGTAAGATGTGTGCACTCATTTTTATAATATGTAAAACTTTGAACTTCAGCATGTTTTACGTACATCTAGCTTTAAAAATATTGACATAGACTCAACAATAATTTGAAAAAAAATATTTCCGCAAATATGCGGAAATATTTTTACCCAAGTAATTCGTACTGATTCGGCGTACGTAAATTCACGATTATCAACAGCAAATATATTTAACAGTGAATCCAATACCAAATCAAGTAGAAATCGATTGTGAAAATAAATGTTATTAGTTTCACACAAGATCTTTTGTCATGACTAGCTATACAATACAATTATGAATAAACACAAAATGTACATAAGTGGGATATTCGGCCTTTTTATTGGAAATTTCAGGCTGCATGTAAATTTTTTGTTGTTAATCACTAAGTATATTACATCATCCATGAATTCAGCATGATATATACGTTATGTATCAACCCTGAGATAAGTCATTGCTTTTATACAAAAGTCTCGCTCGGAAAGTTCAACGTGTACTTGAAATTCATCATTCAACTCAAGTATCACGAGTAATAATCAAAATATCACGAGTAATAATCAAAATATTACGAGTAATAATGCAATGAGATGACAAACAAAAGGAAAATCATGAAAGCTTACCTCGCCTCGAGTGTTGAAGTCCACGTCGGTAACCTCAACGCCTTGAGCCGAGACTGAGTGCGAAGAGTTCGTTCATCTCCTGCCCTCCCCAAAAAACTTGTAAATACAGCCAAAATGTCTTCAACATTCTGCACTAAAAATGCTAGAACACACTGTGAACTATATTAATGTAGAATTAATTATTATGTAATAGTCAAATACGGGTAAAGGTTCCACAGTCCCTAGTGATCGAGAACACTAGCAGTTATGGTGTGAGCAACCGCAAACGGGAGACAAGAAGTGCGCACCTACCCGTACACTGTCTGAGGAGCAACTGAGCGTGAGGGAGACAACAATGGACTTGCATTCAGTGAATAGCCGCACAGCTGAGCGAGCAACCGCGCGCGCGTCGCTTACCTCCTCCTAAACTTAGAGCCCAAACCGGCGGAGCGAGCATTAAAACTAACAAAAATGAAGCAATCAAGGAGTGATGTGGAAATCCACCTGGGAATAAATTACATGAGAACCTAGATGACATTATTTATAATTATTAAAATATGGAGAGTAAAGGTATACAAATAAAAATTATTAAGGAGAATTTTTAATCCTAAGTATACCGAACTCCACCTACAGATGGATGAATAAAACGAAGCCAACAAACGAAGAGGAAGAAGCGGATGGATAAAGCGCATGTAGCGGATGGACGAAGCGAGAGAGGATGCCACCAACAAGACGCTTCCTTGGTACGCATCATACGCACCGGCGTGCGATCTCTTCATGCATTCAGTGCTTCAGTCAAACACGCATTTATCATTCATTGCGACTAATTCATCACTCTTCATTAGCTACTTATTTGCATCATTCTACAGGAAGGCACTAATATTTAATGCCGAGAGCCATTAACTGCGCACATTTAAACAGTTTTCAATGTACATACTCATTTCCTATATTTTTACCCTTGCTATATCCAAAACTTCATTCTTACCCTTAACATTGACGGATTAAAACAAAATTGTGAGCCTATCGCCATATTTCTATAGTCCGACGCTGAACAAAATACACGCAGTCATTTTGTTATCCAATTTTGTTCATAAGACTTGCTCTTTAGTTCATAAGACTTGCTCTTTAGTTCATAAGACTTGCTTTTTAGTTTTTAAGACTTGCTCTTTAGTTCATAATACTTGCTCTTTAGTTCACAAGACTTGTTTTTTGTACATAAGACTTGCTCTTTGGCTCAGAAGACTTGCTCTTTCGTTCTTAAGACTTTCTCTTTAGTTCATAAGACTTGCTCTTTAGCTCATATAAGACTGGCTCTTTATTTCATAAGACTTGCTTTGAAGACAGTTTTGGGTTGAGCTCTCAAATGATTGGCTATGTGAATAGTTTTTACACTAAGCTCATTGATGTAATTATTGACGTATTAATATCAACAGTTAATTCCTATGACCACTCATTACACAATCGCTTCCAATGAAAGGAAGAGCTGCCATCGCTCCTCGATCAGCGTTCCAGGTTATATAGTGAAATATTATATAAGTGAAAGGTTATATAGTAAAATATTATATAAGTGAAAGGTTATATAAGTGAAAGATTATATAAGTGAAAGGTTATATATGTGAAAGATTACATAAGTGAAAGATTATATAAGTGAAAGGTTATATATGTGAAAGGTTATATAAGTGAAAGGTTATATATGTGAAAGGTTATATAAGTGAAAGATTATATATGTAACAAAGGAGGAATTTCAATTTTTTAAGCCACCTTCTCTCGTAAGATCCTGAGTTACTCTCCGAAGCAACTTTTAAGAACAACTTCAGTAAGGTTACGTCCTGAAAAATATTTCCAAAATAACTTTCTGCAAAAACTTTACATAGGAATCACCTGAAATAGGGTCCCAGGGTAATGTTCAAAAAGTAACTGTGGAGTAAATTTCCTGTAACTTTTCAGTCGATTTTGTGACAGAGTTAAAGCGCAGGGAAGCTTTCCTGCGAAGCCACGTCCGCCTCTGCACCTGGCCACGGTCGTCCGCCAGATGCTCGACGCCCAACGACCGCTGGCCACCAAAGATGGTCGTTACAAAACCGGAGACTCAAACAAACTAAACTCGATCCCGAGGATTTGCAGATTATTAAGAAACTGAGTTCGAATCTGTAACTGAGACATGAAATGTTTGTTTCTGACTTGGACAACACCAAGGTGTCCTGGAAGAATTTATTTCCAAACATTTTAACTGAAGATTTTTGACGCTATCGAAGTTTCGACTGAAATATAAAATTTGGAACCAAAGAAAATTTTGCTTCCAGAATAGAAAAAAAATATAACGCAGTACTCACTGCAGTGAGTGACAGAGAGCGCATTTTCTCGTCAACGAAAACTTGAAGTCACGGACAGACGGACGGACAGACAGACGGACAGACAGACGGACAGACGGACATGGCGAGCACAATAGTGCATTTTTTCCATAAATGAGAATATGCGCTAAAAAAGTTATATAAGTGAGAGTTTATACTTATAAATAACTCTTAAATAATTTTAGTGTGCCTGATTTGCATCGTTATTCCCTATAACTTGGTAGGCTAGTCGCGCCAGGAACAGAAATAACATTTGAATGGAACAGCAAGCAGCAATGAAGGTCTTTGTGATGAGCAGAAAAATAAATAAGTTCCCGGTAGATGGCGTTAATGAAAAATCATGGCATGAAATGGCAATGGAAGGTGCGTGTGGTGCGTGTGATGCGTGTGAGTGGTGCGTGCGCAAAGTGTGTGCTGTGGTGCATGCGAGTAGTTGTTTAGTTCAGTGCTACAAATTTGAAATACTATTCGCTTTGAAAATTTTTATTATTCATACAAAAATGTAATGCGTAATTGAAAACGTTTAATCGGACTCACAAGAAACAATGCACATCATGAAATTTATAATTAAACTTATTATAAGAATTACATTTCCATAGTACAAAACCTTATTTCGTTGGAGAAATCAAATTGTGAGGCAATTTGGAAAATGTATGCTTGTCATCAAAACACGTATTTTTCGTAACCTGAATTATCCTTCATATTTTAAAAACAATTATTTTACATGCCGGCAAATTTGTTATACATATATTTGTTTAGTACTATAAACTATTTGATGGTTCGCGCCATAAAGTATATTACTTAAGAAAATAGAGTTCTAATCGATAGGTTCTTATGTTCCTTATTTAGTTTATTCGGTAATTTCAATGTTTAAATTATTTTAGTTACTTCAGTTTACATATTGCTTTACGTAGTGATGTAGTGTGACGTGTGCGAAGTGATGTAGTGTGGCGCGCGTAGTGATGTAGTGTGGCGCGAGTAGTGATGTAGAGTGGCGCACGTAGTGATGTAGTATGGCGCGCGTAGTGATGTAGTGTGGTGCGCGTAGTGATGTAGTGTGGTGAGATGTAGTGTGGCGCGCGTAGTGATGTTGTGTGGCGTGCATAGTGATGTAGAGTGGCGCGCGTAGTGATGTAGAGTGGCGCGCGTAGTGATGTAGTGTGGCGAGCAAGTGGTGTCCGAGGCGCGCGTAGCCACAGCGCAGGTCGCGTGGCGTAGCGCCACTCCGCCTGCGGGGCCGCGGGTGCAGGCGGAACGGAAGAGGCTCTTCATCCGAAATCGCCTGAAGTATTGCACATGAAAATCAACATTTCTAAACTAAACTAAAGAACCGAAAATTACATTAAAACTGATAATGACACCATGCGTTGTGAATCAACGTAAAGTCGAAAACCTTATAAATGCCATTGAGCGCATTTTTTCTTCCTAAGAAGTAAGAATACAAGTCTTTCAGTCAAATGTAACAGCCGGGCTTTTGTTGTGATAAATGTTACATTAAAATAAGTTTCAACTGCTGTTATCAAATTCCTAAAACATATAGTGTATAGCTAATTATAATTCACGTCACAAGACGCGAATTTCCCACGAGGCGCGAAGGGAGCAGGGGCGGAGGAGGCGGGAGCCTGAACGTAGCGGGAAACCCTCGGGCGCGGACGTGAGCGGCGCAACTCGTGGGAAAACCTCCAGGTATATGTACATCTGACAATATATTTATAAATTGGAAGCCAACTGTTCTACAACCAGCGACATGTACTCGTATAGACAATTAATGAAGTGATATACACTAGTGAAGTGTATTTCGATTCCTATAGCATGGCATTAGAGTATAGACTCTATTTTACAACGTACGCATAAGACTAGACGATATAACTTTCTTTGTTTATTAACACTACATGTACACGTTAATAACAACTTTTTGAAAAACCTTGCACGTCTATGCACTTTGAGTGACAAAATTTGGATTACTATCAGATAAACCAACTTTAAGGTAAATAATTTAACATACATTTTCAACGTACATTTGGCACCAAAATAAAGGTGCCAAATCTGAATGTTCCCGAGTTTGAGTTTAAAATGAAGTGTAAGTTTGAAGTGATGTAGTCGTTTGAAGTGATGTGGATGTTTGAAGTGTAGTGTATGTTTGAAGTGATGTGGATGTTTGAAGTGAAGTGGAAGTTTAAAGTGAAGTGGAAGTTTGAAGTGAAGTGGAAGTTTGAAGTGAAGTGGAAGTTTAAAGGTAAATGGAAATTGGAAGCAAACTCACGATTAGTTGTGATAATCTTATTTAATCATTATCTGTTCTCGCATGAATTAATTTTTGTCATGAAAACTTTTCAAATCTCTGCGACTGAGCTGCGTCAGCTGCGTCGTGATAAAAATAAATGACTGAAAGCCAACGTACTCGCTGAAAAATAATGAAAACTATATGAAATAATGAAAACCATTCAAAAAATGCAGTTAATCGTTCATTACGACTTCGAGAAATCATATTACTCTTAATAACACGCCATATGGAAACGAACATTTTGACACCGAAACTTCATGCAGTTTCTGATGAATCTAGTCCGATTCACTTTCAATTTTCGCGTGAATTCAGATGAAAATAAAATATGTGCTCCGACACGTAGTTTGGTAGCTGCAACTGACCAGCCACTCGAATTAGCAGGCTCAGGTTAAACGAAGGTTGACACTCATTGTAGAACTAATTGATATAAATTCAACCATTGTCAACATCAATTTGAAATATGTGGATAAACGTTAGCACTATGATACGTTAGTAATAAAAATCGTTTAGTACGTCAGCAACGTGAGCGAACTACTAATGTATCTTAGCAACATTGAAAATAATTTCCAATCAAAATCTGATTGTTTAAATTACAGCAACAGCTGTAACACATACATGTATATAAACATCAGCAATAGTTTGTTTGGAGCCGAACTCACGCAATAGTCTTGTCAGGCAGCGATAAAAATATTTTCTTCTGGTACGCTGCTTCTCATGATTGAGGAAGAATAATTTGTTTTTGTTACGTATATTCGTTTGTCGAAGGATTTGATACACGATTTTTCGTTTCCCTTTCCTCTATAAAATCGGTTTCGTCAAACAAACAATATACAAAGGTAAAAATGGTTACATATAATTTGTATTGCACATAAGGCATAATCGAGAAGTAAAATCATTTATTTCGAACATATAACACGATAGAAGTCAAAAGGATCTTCACGGATCTTCAGAATTAAAACTCACGTATCAAATATTTCCTTCTGTTCAGTCTAGAGCCAACACTGCAACTGAAACTATATATGCTTTTAAAACTGAACTAAACTGCTCTAGACTGAACTTTATACTTTGCTTTATTAGTAAAGAAAATCATTGCACGAAGCTTACAAGAACGTTGTATTCGATGGCAATTCCTACCTGTAAAAACGCGTACGTTGGTATTCAAAATTCTGTGTAACATGAAAATTTTAATATTCAAAAATCAGGTACTGCGTTATAATTACATTTGTGCAAACTTGTCCGTCTTTTGTGTACTTGGTTTTGACATATTTTCAATTATTATTTTTTTACAAACCAATGCATGATCTTTGCAAGCAGCAATTGATCGATTTCTGATTTACCATCGGAAAAAACTAAATGTTCTGTGTTTTACTTGCAAGATATTTTTAAAAAGACCAACGTTCATCTTTTATTGGCGAATTTGTTGTGCTGCGCCCGTTGCCCGTGCCCCTCATGATGCGACAGTTGAATACTCTTTTAAAGTAGTAAGCCATACAATGTTTTCTACGAGAGTCAAGATTGAAGTTGTAAAAAACGGAATATTTGAGGATAAACTAAAGAAAACGAAGAAAACTTGCATGTGGGCTAGGCCATCATAGTTAACCCAACTGCATATTTTTCAAACAATTCACATTACTTACGTTTCTTAATCAATGATGAAATGGGAAGGCAGAAACTAACACGGCTCAAATAACTATCATAAAACCATGGGTTATTCATTTTTATTATCGATACCGAAACGGCATTTCCGCGGAGACCAAACCGAAATTCCGTCAATTTGTATTTGAAAATGCAATATTTATTTCAAAAATACATAGCACTATAATCATGGTCAATAGAATTCAGAGAACAGAATTGAATTTCTCACTCATTTTCTTTCTTTGATTATGTAAGATATTACCTTGGTCGGCACGCAATCAATCTTTCCTTTCTCCATGATTGCTCAACTACCACATGAGAAGTTTACAAGAAAGTCTCCCATTGGCATTCATTGCAACACTTCAGTAAACCAATCTTTTTCCCATCTGACGTTTCTTACATGAGTTATTCCGTCAAGTAATGAATACGTTTGGCATTGTAAATCTTCATTTGGGTGAAACTACTTTTTCACGAGAATCTATGCGTAGTGTTACGAAAAATGGTATCGGTTGTTAATAAAAAGTTATGAATTAAATCGTTTAACAATGACATCATTTTTTAGCCTCAGAATTTGGTAAAATATTAGATTATTTCCCTCAACATTTTCCAGTCCTGGATTGAAAACAATCAAGTAGTATTCCTAATCATTCCTCTTCAAATTTAAATGCTTACAGTATTTCAGTACTTGTCCGGTCTGAATATCTATTCTTTACTCAATACCGACTACAAGGCTCTCCAGAAATAGCGTTGAAGACACTCCAATTTCCTCCAATTTCCTCCAACCTCCGACTGGTGACACCGGAAACGATTGTTATGAGGAACCGGAGCGGCTTGAGAAAAAAGTGGGAAGAAGGGGAAGAAAAGTTGCCCTCACAATCACACGCCAACTGAAACCTAACACCGCTCCTCCAGCAGTATGGAACGAACCTTGGTGCGGTGAGGTGTGTGGAGGTGTCCTCCTGACCATCTCTCTTGTCGTCTGCTACGCGTGGTTCTGTCGATCGATGAAACTACTCAGGTATTTCATGTTTAATTGTTGTATTTTGATATTAAGCTATGTTCTCTCTTGCCTACAATCGTGTAGGCCTAAATTTGTTTCTGTAAGTGTCTTTTGTTTGCTAACTCATCATAATTTCTGGCGATGATGAGCGTGCACAACACTCTTCGGATAATCATGAATGAATATTTATTAATAGATATGATATCTATACCGGAGCGTAGATGCACTCAGCATTCTTGGTTGTAAATACTGTATATTTATTATTTAAATAAGCAGTTAAAAGTCGATTTCATCAATAAAGATCCTATTCGAAATTGCGTTGCTTCTTGCCGATGAGATCGATAGCGAAGAATTCGCACGACCGGCACGGCGCTTGCGGTCAGGCCGGTGGCCCGGTTCTTCTTTTCTTAAATCTCATGCGTTTATGGCATTATTCTTTTATGGCGGGTCTTTGGTAATAATAATATAGAATTCCTTAGCAGAAACAGGGCTAAACTCATCATGATGCCCTAAGAACGGCCTCCGCTCCTGACACCATTCTCGTACGTTTCCACTAATCACAGTTTTTTCATTTACGGTATGTTTTCAAATATTATCGTTCCTTATCCAGCCAAATTTCGTTAATAATTTCCAAGAATTTTTCGTCTGAGAAGTGAAAACTTATTATCTATGGGGAATAGAATCATTAATGTTATTTTTAGCTTGTAAACGCTGCTTACAAAATAGTTTTTCATTATTGAATATCTTTAAACTGAAACCTCCACGAAACTTAGACCATATTCAGTAGACCATGTGAATGCGCTATTATGTCGGCTGTCTCTTCTTCTTGCCGATGTCAATATTAATAATAATGGGAGTCTAATAACTTATTTCCTAATGACGAATAAGACTAGTAATGACATAATGATGTTTGATAGAGAAATAATATCCTTTGTCTCGTGACTTGAACTGCTGGTGTTATCTCAGTGACGTGAACTGCTGGTGTTATCTCAGTGACGTGAACTGCTGGTGTTATCTCAGTGACGTGAACTGCTGGTGTTATCTCAGTGACGTGAACTGCTGGTGTTATCTCAGTGACGTGAACTGCTGCTGTTATCTCAGTGATATGAACTGCTGGTGTTATCTCAGTGACGTGAACTGCTGCTGTTATCTCAGTGATATGAACTGCTGGTGTTATCTCAGTGACGTGAACTGCTGCTGTTATCTCAGTGATATGAACTGCTGGTGTTATCTCAGTGATATGAACTGCTGGTGCAGAAAGCCTATAATTCTAAGAACAAATTACATGTGCGTTGCTGAAACGCCTGCAGCGCAGAGTATCGTTATCACGAGGCAAATAACAATTCGAACCTTAATGTATGGCAGAATTCTTTTTCTGTTCGCGATGCCTCTTACGGCCCATTTAATTCTACAATTTCTCAGACGACTTGCGCGATAGCCCTTGTGTATTTAGACTTGTTAGTGATTATTAATCACGTATCCCATAAACAAAATTCAGTTCTTATCTACCGTTATCAATTGATTTCATTTCAAACCATGATTTAAAGCGATATAATCAATGTTGACCGAATTTTAGCTTTTCCTTTGCCGCCCATAACATGTCCATGTGTTATTATCATTGGTCACAGATTATTTTATTAGCGTTGGCCACGCATAACATAAGATGTATTTCAATTGTGGCATGGAATTCCAGCCTGTTATGCTCTCCGGATCAGTGCTACCACTCACTTACAGGCGGAAGTGAGCGCTGCTTAAACATTGCGCTTGAACGAATAGATAAGTAGTACGATATTATTGAACGAATAGATAAGCAGTTCGAGATAAGTAGATTTCCTTACACGTAAATGTACTGCACATTTAGGGAAGGGTCTTTGTCTAATGCGACCTTCGTTAGTTAACTGAAATTCAAGTAATGTAAGACGAAATGAAAGGAAATATGTAAAAAAATAAAATTAGAAACGCGCGACGCATTTTTTTACAAGTGCAAGGATCATGTAGCATAAGTTTGTTAGAACACCACATGGACTCGGCCATAGAATTTCCGTTTGATTGAATGCGTGGGCAGAAATTGAAAGAATCAAAATTGAGGGCAAGAATATAAATTCCCGATAGGAATTTAATCTGTCGAGACCAAATAATATTGTATTGTCGGCACGAATTTGACTTTCCTGACTGAAACTTAGGTTGCCGGAAGAAGATTAAATGTCGACAAAAAGTCCAATTTCAGGAAGAACTTGAATCGTCAGGATGAATGTAAATGTCTGAAAGTGTCGGTTTGGTTGTGTTTATGGAAGCGGTGCAAGTTGCTGCTTGGCCACCCAGCTGTGAAATGAACGATTCAGCAACGAACTGCACTTCCGGCTCACAATAGCTCGTAATAAAAATTGTAATTACACGGCAATGATTTGTGTCTTTTTAACGATCATTTAAGACTACGCATAACTTCAGACTCAAAACATTACACAAAAATCTGAAATCACTAAATCACTACATATGAAATCACTTTACACAAATCACTACATTATTTATCTGCAATACCATTGCTTATAGTTCATTGTTTGTAGTCATGATCCGTGACTAGACGCCACGAGTTTTTAGTTCATGTAGAATATTCAGCCCATACAGTACCTTATTACGTGAAATAAATGAAAAATATCACCGCTAAAAGAAGTTTTAATTATCCACGATACAGCATTGTGATCAGTGGATGAAGTCTTGTACTGCAATTGCGCGAATAGCACTAAAACTCCGATATTCTAATCGCTTAAGACATTTATATAATGTTCTTAGACTAATGCTCGAAAAATTTCTTATTTTTTCAGACATGATGTCCACCGAGTAACGTCAATCAAACTTGCATCGAATATAAAGGACATGAAGTGTTTCTGAACTGCCACTCCGTTCAGTCAAGTGTTTCTGAACTGCCACTCCGTTCAGTCAAGTGTTTCTGAACTACCACTCCATTCAGTCAAGTGTCTCTGAACTGCCACTCCATTCAGTCAAGTGTCTCTGAACTGCCACTCCGTTCAGTCAAGTGTCTCTGAACTGCTACTTCCTTCAGTAAAGCATCTCTGAACTGCTGCTCCGTTCAGTCAAGTGTCTCTGAACCGCTGCTCCGTTAAAGTCTCTTCGATTAAGTGCCACCCCAACAACTAGATAGACCAACATGGCGGCTATGGTGTTGCAAATGAGCAGCTCATCGTCTGTTCTCTCAACGCCTCCTCCCACACCACCCATGGAAAATCCTGCGAACTATCCTTCTGTGCACCAGAAGAGAATGGCAAGCGGCGCTGCAACTCCAAGCTCTAACGACCCTCGTAAAATTTCTGTGCCGGTTACAGGGAACACGAGTAAGGGTTTACAGGTCCAGATGACCAGGAATTCTGCTGAAATTAAACCAGCGGTTGCATTGAATAACCCGATGCATTTAGCCCAGCAGGAAGATTTGCCAGAAGAAGTACTAACATCAAGCGATAGTTCTATGGATGACACCAACGTTCCGGTCTCAGGAACGAAAAATGCCACAGCTCAAAATAACACCTCACATGTCCTACTAAATGGGAAAAACATTCCTAAATACGATCGGAAGGAACCTGACCAGCCACCCGCTCATAGTCAACTATCACGTCAACCACAACCTCCAGGTCCTGATCAACCCCCGGTTCATGGTCAACCCCCGGTCCATGGTCAACAACCAGTTCATCCTGGTCAACCCCCGGTTCCAATTCAACCCCCAGGTCCCGACAAGCCACGCCAAAGCCACCCCAAGAGGCGGTCCATGGCAGCAGGCGCCCCCAAGTCCCTGCTGAACCCGGAGGACTACTTCCGCGGCGTGTCGCCCATGTGCAGGAGGCTGCTGGAGGACATGGCCGCCGTCAGGGAGTCCATGGGGCGGGACTGGGCTGCTCTTACGTATGAGCAGCAGTGCAAGATTCTGGACCAGGCCATCGTCGATGAGGTACGATCATTGTTTTATTTATTTATTTTAATATGGTTTGAGATCATCGATGTTCTTTTCGAGTTCATTTAACAGTTCCTCCTGTTGTTCATTTCATTAATTTGACGCAACTTTTTTCGGGTTAAGTTGTTTCATTTGACCTGAGCTATGGACTTCAACTTTGTGCGCACTAAAACATTGAAAAATAAATTTTAAATGATTTTTTTTTATTAAACAAGGACGTCAAAGAATTCGCACTGACATTCATTTATTGCATGTTCAGTAAATAATTATTTGTCACCTTCATAACAACGAAAGCTCAATTATCTTAGTTCATTATCAATCTTGTCTTGCTCGCCACAAGTCACAGTCGATGCGCTAAATCACCGAATCATGTTATTTTCCTAAGAATTTTCTCTCCCTATTGGGAGAGAAATTGTTATTGTTATAAGTTCCTTTTAGGTTCTATCAAACGTTCATCCAGATTCTAGTTACGCTAAGTGCGAGTGCGTCAATTTCGTGTCGCGGAACACTGCCAGAAACAACATTTATTTTGTGACTGAAATTCTTGAGATTTTTCCCTCGGCAATAAACGTTCTTGTCACACCACTTCTTCCCTTTCGAGTGCCGGTAAACGCGTTATTCCCTCAGTTCCTCCCCTTGGGAGTCTTGTAATGCTGTCCCTTTTCCCTCTGAGAGGTCCCCTTCCTATACGAGGGTATTAAATGCTTTTCTCGTATCCCCTCACTCGTAGAAATGTGTTAGAGCCTCATGGTAATTATCACGATAAATCTCATTGTAAACATCACAATAAATCTCATAGTAAACATTACAATAAGCCTCATAGAAATCATCACAATAAATTTCATAAAAATCGTCACGATTAACTTTATAGAAATCATCATAATTATCTTCGCATAAAGTATCACAATTAACTTCATGGTCATCATCAGAATTAACCTAATATAAATCATCACAATCAGCTTCATGGTCATCATCAGAATTAACCTAATATAAATCATCACAATCAGCTTCATGGCCATCATCAGAATTAGCCTCATAGAAATCATCAAAATCAGCTTCATGACAATATCAGAATTAGCCTTATAGAAATCATCACAACAAGCGTTATGGCAATCATCATAATTAGCCTCAACGTAATCATGGCAATAATCCTACTTGTACTGTGCACAACGCACAGGCCACGATGCGCCGCTACGAGCACGAGGACGCGTGCGCAGGCCCCGAGTGCGCATACTTCCCGAAGCTGCAGCTGCGCACCGGCCAGCGCATCGTCAGGGACGAGAAGCTCTCCCAGCGTGGCTATGTGAGGGGTGTGAGGGGAGCGTGTGACTAGCGTGGCTATGTGAGGGGTGTGAGGGGAGGACGTGTGACTAGCGTGGCTATGTGAGGGGTGTGAGGGGAGAGTGTGACTAGCGTGGCTATGTGAGGGCAATGAGGGGAGGGAGCGTGTGACTAGCGTGGCTATGTGAGGGGTGTGAGGGGAGGGCGTGTGACGAGCGTGGCTATGTGAGGGCAATGAGGGGAGGGCGCGTGTGACTAGCGTGGCTATGTGAGGGCAATGAGGGGAGGGTGTGTGACTAGCGTGGCTATGTGAGGGGTTTGAGGGGAGGGCGTGTGACTAGCGTGGCTATGTGAGGGAAGTGAGGGGAGGGCGTGTGACTAGCGTGGCTATGTGAGGGGTGTGAGGGGAGGGCGTGTGACTAGCGTGGCTATGTGAGGGAAATGAATGTAAAGTGTGTGCAGAGGTTCACGTTAACCTCAATTCGTCAGATATTTCTCACATTGAATCAAAATAATTAAAATCTAATGGGTTTTAATAATTTTAAATGTTTATTTTGTTTATTTACTGATATTGCCCTAACGTCAGTAAGACTTAATACAATAATGCGTAGGCCTGCTTTTTCTTTGTTTCTCGTCATTTGGAAAGTCTATATATGGCTAATTTACGTTAACCCCACGACTAACGTACGTGAATGTTTCATTGATTATTTACTTGCAGACCTGCAGCTGGCGAGACGAACACTCGGCGCCCTTCTCGTGGCACACGCGCTCCCAGATGGACCTCACCCTTGATACCCCGCCAGAGACACCCCTGGAGCCTCCATATCTGCCACACGAGCTCGACCAACAAGACGGGCGAGCCTCCAGCAAAGATAACCAGTCTTCGAAGAGTCCATCGTTCACGTCGCGATCTCAGAAGAGACCTCATCAGTCGCGCAGGACGAGATCGGCGTTCACATGGCACTACGAACCTTCCCCTCGACCACCCAAATCAAATTCAACTGAAATCCCAGACATCGTCAGAGATTCATCGCTGCAAATCAAGACTCATGTGGTGGTTCGAGCTGAAAACATGGACGGAGGCAATGCTGGTTTTCTCGACAAACTACGCGGGGCTTTTTGTAAGCTGACAACTTCTTGTATGCCTACGCAAAATTCCAGCGTATCTCAGAGCCTCCAGAGCTCCACGTCCACGCCCCCTGACCTGAGACCTGCTCATGTTTTGGCCCAAGCCAAAGAATCGCAAAACACTTCCCTGCCCATAACTCTGCCTATCACGTCTCGGTCTCACGATGGCGACCATGAAATTTTCAATGACAGCAACAATGAACTCGCAAATAATGACGACGAAATGAGATCGAGGGGTGAGAGCTACTTCGGAGACAGAAACGAAATTGACGGACATTTTCGAGTTGATGCCGCTGTTAATTCTGTTAACAACAACCTTTCAGGGCCAAATTCTTTGGCTCAGGATGTTGGATCAATCGCTCCCACAACCAACATCACCGCTAATCCATTATCAGTCACGTGCAGCAGTTCAAACAAACCCGACAACGGCAACAAACCCGCTGGCTTCAACCGCCCTCAGAACAAACGAAGAGCACCGGAACCCGTCAAAAAACCGGCGCCGGCCCCGCCTGTCCGACACCCATCAACCCATATCGAAAACAACAGAAGTTTTCCCCTTCTTAAAGATGAGGACATCGTGGAGAAGAATGGTGGTGTTCACGAGAAGAATTTGAACCTTCTTAATGCCACGAACACGCAGGACCACCACGAAATTCTTGATAACGACGACGCGGCCCAAAAATCCTTCGAGAATTTTATGGATGGAACCACGCTGGAGGACAAGCCGAGCGTAGACCTATCCACCAGTGGACAGGTGAGTTTAAATTAAGGAAAGATTCATACTCCCTAGCGTACAAATAATTTTAACATTATCAAAGTACGCTGTTCTATTTACTTATTCTTTCGCTTGTTTGCAGCCTTGTTACACTTATAATTAATCCATGTTATTATGGTATATTATTAACGCCTGCATCTATTGACGTTATTTTATGAAGGTCTTAGATCGTTTTCTATTCCTTAGGACTTCATCCCAAAAACTGGCTTCGATTTCTTGGACAACTGGTAATACCATAGGACTTCGGCTGCTCCTGGGATGACCGTTGACGTCCTGCCGAAAATTTCCCACAAGAGTTGCCCTCTTCAGCGAAGACAGCCGCTTGCTGCGTCCACCAATCCTCATGTGCATTTGTCTTCACTAAAAAGATCGCGGGGTTATACAACGTTTTACAACCGGTTTTTATTTCAATCAATATGTCACTTGATCAACGACAGTTCACATATGTAGGTTTAACGACAGTTCACATATCCCATGCTGCACAACGTCACTCAGTTCGCAACATCTTCCGGGTTTTGTACATTTGATTACTGCACTTGTGCCTCGTAGCTAGGGTTTGTTATACTTTTTATTCTACCTGTTACTTGAATTATTGTAAATTATTTCGATATGTTTTCACCGGACCGCGTTTAAATGGAACGTCAATGTTGTACAGAATGTAACTTTCATCTCTCACACAATCTTCCTTCACTTTTATACCGTCACTTTTGTACAAGTTTTAACTTTATAACCTGCCCATGATTATCTAGTATGTAATTTAGGTTATTTAATATCTAGTGTGTCATCTAGGGTAATATAATATCTAGTTTGCAATGTGGGGTTGTTTGATAATATCTAGTGTGTAATCTAGTGTTATATATAATATCTATTATTATTATTATTCCACGAAGAGATTGTCGTGGCGTCTCGTTCGGATCGAACTTCGAGGGCACGTTACAAGTGGCTAAAAAAGACACGAAAGGATAAAAACAGATGACGTCTATGCTAAAACAAAGGACATATGCCAAGACTGACGACGTCTATGCTAGAACAAACAACACCTATACCAAACCAGTAATATACATGATAGATTAGATGACGGCTAGGTCTAAGATTCAAAGGCTCTACGGAAAAGTTCTGTTTTTAGGCGTCGACAAAACAACGGCAGCAAAGAAGCAGATGTTAATATCTAGTATGTAATCTAGGGTTATATAATATCTAGTGTTGAATGTAGGGTTATATAATATCTAGTATCAAGTGTAGTCACTGGTAGTAGATTTTGGAGAAGTGTTACTCACGTCTAGGTGATGATACTATTACGTACAGGTAGGTTATGATAGTTCCCAAGAGCCTTATCCTATACCTATCATTATAGTTTAGCCGCATACTAGCTCTAGTACGTTTGCACTAGCTTTAAGCTCTATCTCATATTCCATACTTTGATTTACTATTTCCGTGCACGTTTGTTCCAACACAAACTTGTAAGTTCCTCATATTTATTTTTTCTTTGTATTGCAGGCAGCATTTGCATGACACTTTTTATCACAACTTACTAGGGTTACACCTCTTCATCTCAACTTATTAACCTGTTCACCTCAAGTTATTAGTAACGTACGTAGAGCTTATTAATCGTGTTTCGTCAATACGTACAGCCAATTGGAGTTGAGTTGTGTTGTACTCAACATGCTAAGTTTTTCTGTACTCAGCATGCTAAGCTATTCTGTACACAACATGCTAAGCTATAGTGTACTCAACATGCTAAGCTATTCTGTACTCAACATGCTAAGTTATTCTGTACTCAACATGCTAAGCTATTGTGTACTCAACATGCTAAGCTATTGTGTACTCAACATGCTAAGCTATTGTGTACTCAACATGCTAAGCTATTGTGTACTCAACATGCTAAGCTATTCTGTACTCAACATGCTAAGCTATTCTGTACTAAACATGCTAAGCTATTGTATACTAAACATGCTAAGCTATTCTGTACTCAGCATGCTAAGCTATTGTGTACTCAATATAAAATCAATCCTATATTTAACATCTTCATCGTCAACCTTATCAACTATTCAATACTCAACAAACACTCAGCAATTATAGGAACCAAAATTTTTCAACAAGTTATTTCGACTACTGACTGAAGCTCATGATGTTATGTGTACATGTTAAAATAATTAACATTATCATTATATTGATGTCAGTGATTTATTTTAGACTAATAAGAGGTACGTCATTTCAAGAGCAAAATCGACTTGTTACTTACATGCTTCTACAAACTTTCCATTTGAAATTTCTCTCACTTTTCTATGAATATTAATCAAGCTAGGATTAGGCGACCTTGTAATTAAACGCATTGTAGAGCACGTGTTTCAATTCACCGACTTTTTTTTATTATATTATATTAGGATGCATTAATTGGTGACATATCGAGTGATGATTCTAAAAATGGTGGCAGCAGGATATAAAACAAAATTTCTCATAAAATACAAATCATTTATTCAACATCTCTTGTTCCATCACACGAGAGCTTCAATATTTTTTAAATAAATAACATATAATCTGGTAAAAGATCACGTCACCTTAGGCTTAATTATAAAAAAATGCAAGGCATGCCAACGTCATCACAATACGGCACAATGAGGCCGGCACAATCGTCATCACAATATTTAATATCATTTTAATCATTACTTATTCACAAGTGAATCTGTCTAGTCACTAGTGAATCATAATAGTCACTAGTGATATCTTTCTGAACGCAAAATTTCTAACATTTTACGTCCTCGAGAACGTAAAAATTTTTACGCAACTTACGCAGCCTCATTAAATCAAAGCTCACGCCTACATTCAAACGGAAGTCAAAATACAATCTTAGACGCACAGAAAAAATAAGAAGTCCGGCAGTTCAGATGATAATAATTAAAATAACGAAATCCTGACTTGTTTTCAACGGCTCACTAATGTCAGAAAAGTCAGCTGTCTGAGGTAAATAAACTGGCACTAATTAGAATACTTAATATCTAATTAAGTATATGCAACGCTGCACACAGGATGGATGCGACATAACACAGATCGTCGTAAAAAGAACATTAGCTGCTCTCATGGCAGTTCTTAAGGGGAAATAATATGTGGTATAAAACCCATAGCTGCTTTTAAAAACCTCCAGTTAATGTAATGGAAGGTTCAAAACCTCAGTTGAAATAATACGCAAGCAACACTTTCGATATTATCTATCTTAAGTATCCAGCATTTTGTAATCTTATCCATCACATGATAATCGTATCGATCACACGGTAATCTTTCACATCACAGGATAATCGTATCTATCACACAGTAATCCTATATATCGCATGATAATCTTAACAATCATACGGTAATCTCGTTAATCACACGGTAATATTATCCATCGCATGATAATCTTATCAATCACACGGTAATCTAATCCATCGCATGATTAGCTTATCCTTCACTTATTAATAGTTGAAGTTTCTCACGCAGGATAGCCTATAAAACGATATAAAGTATTCACAGTTACCTCTAACAGCTATTAATACCAATTACCATCAACACCATAATAAAATATATGTGCTTTTTGTAAGTCAACAACACTTTGTGAAAATTTACATCTAAGTTTCCTCACTTCGAAAATTAACGAAAAACGAGGTCACTTTTAGCACCAAATACGAATTGCGCCAAACGCGATTCAGTTGATCATTGAATGTGTAAAATATTAAGCGCTTCCTACTAAAGTACTAAACTTATTACTTATTAATTAATCTTGGCTTTCTAAATCCTCATAAGTTTTGAACATGTGATTGTCTTCTACGAAGCATGTACGCGAGATTTCGCTTCCTAATTTTCAGTAGTAAATATTTTACCCTAAATCCTGTGCTATAGCACAGGATTTAGGGTAAAATATTTACATAACAGCTCAGGCGTTCGAAATCTCAACCCCAATACTCCCACAGTAACCCCAACACCCCCAGTAACCCCAACACCTCCAGTAACCCCAACACCCCCAGTAACCCCAACACCCCAGTAACCCCAACACCCCCAGTAACCCCAACACCCCCAGTAACCCCAACACCCCAGTAACCCCAACCCCCCCAGTAACCCCAACACCTCATCAACGCACCGAGCAAGCTTGGCGTTTCCGTCGCGCTGGAAGCCGAGGGCGAAGGGAGATTCTCCAACAAGCATCTCGAAGGTAAGCACTCCTATGCTGTACCAGTCGAAGCCCTGCAACGTAGGATATGGTGACGTGAGATATGGTGACGTAAGATATGGTGGTGTAAGATACGGCGACGTAAGGTAAGGCTACTCAAGGTAAGGATACATAAAGTAAGGCTACATAAGGTAAGGCTACATAAGGTAAAGCTATATAAGATAAGGCTATGTTAAGTAAGGCTGCGTAAGATAAGGCTACGTAAAATAAGGCGACGTAAGGTAACTCGACGTAAAATAAGATGGCCTAAGATAAGATAACGTAAAGTAAGGCGACGTCAGATAAGATAACGCAAAGTAAGTCGACGTCAGATAAGGATAACGTAAGGTGACTTGACATAAGATAGGGTGATATAACATAAAATGACGTAAGATAAGGCTACGTTAGATAAGATAACTCACCTCATTATGCCCTCCCATGGAGGAGGACACCACCTCCGGTGCCATGTACTCCAAGGTTCCTACGTAGGACTTGGAGCGTACACATATATTTTTTTATATACTAAACTTATTACTTATTAATTAATCTTGGCTTTCTAAATCCTTATAAGTTTTGAACATGTGATTGTCTTCTACGAAGCATGTATACGTGAGATTTCGCTTCCTAATTTTCAGTAGTAAATATTTTACCCTAAATCCTGTGCTATAGCTATATATGTGCTATAGCTATATGTATAGCTATACTGTATAGCTATACTATACTACATACTACTACTATACTATACTATACTATACTACTCTACTATACTACTATACAGTATATGTATAGCTATACTGTATATATGTATAGCTATACTATACTACTATATATATAGCTATATGTATACATAGCTATAGCTATGTATAGCTATATATGTGCTATAGCTATAGCTCCTGTGCTAAATCCTGTGCTATATATATAGTAGTAAATATTTTACCCTAAATCCTGTGCTATAGCACAGGATTTAGGGTAAAATATTTACTACTATATATATAGCACAGGATTTAGCACAGGAGCTATAGCTATAGCACATATATAGCTATACATAGCTATAGCTATGTATACATATAGCTATATATATAGTAGTATAGTATAGCTATACATATATACAGTATAGCTATACATATACTGTATAGTAGTATAGTAGAGTAGTATAGTATAGTATAGTATAGTAGTAGTATGTAGTATAGTATAGCTATACAGTATAGCTATACATATAGCTATAGCACATATATAGCTATAGCACAGGATTTAGGGTAAAATATTTACTACTGAAAATTAGGAAGCGAAATCTCACGTATACATGCTTCGTAGAAGACAATCACATGTTCAAAACTTATAAGGATTTAGAAAGCCAAGATTAATTAATAAGTAATAAGTTTAGTATATAAAAAAATATATGTGACCCTAGCAACACGAATCTTGATCACACGATTAGCGAACTGCATTTATCACTAACCATACTAATCTTTTCTAACTAACCATACTAATTACTCGCAGCAAATTTTACGAATCACTTGTCGCGAATTTTACGAATCACTTGTAGCGAATTTTACGAATCACTTGTAGCGAATTTTACGAATTATTTCTGACGAACCTTACGAATCACTTAGGAGGCGTGAAGGTTTAAAAACACTGCATTCACAAACCATCAATTCACAGCCTGTTACGAGAGACACTCAGAAAAATCGGAGTGATACGATATTTCTGACCCCAAATCCTTGCCTAATACTTAGACGCGTTTCGATCCCGTAATGCAGGATAGAAATGCCCATAATCTAGTTGCATTATTATTCAGAAGACACAGAATCTGCCTGAATTTCGTACCTATATTTGCTTTAGGACAAGTAATCGGACTTTTATACAAACGCGATTTACGCCGGAGGAATTTTCATTGCATTCCACTTATCATTTCAACAGAATCAAAGAATTCATCAGATAATTGAGTGCCTTATCGGAAATAGGATAAATCGCCATTAGTGAAATCGCAACCATCCTAGATAATCATCAGTGAATTAAAAGTATTTATCGCAACCATCCGAAGTTATTATCAGTAAAATAGGGGCCTTATTGCAACCATCCTAGATCATCAGCTAGTAAATTCTAGAGCATTATCGCAACCATAATAGATCATCTGTACCTAGAAAATCAGACTTGTTTATGTTAAATTAACAAGTTTCAAGAAACCTTTTCCTGACCAAGTATCCCTGATAAGACGCGTCATTTACTATGCCATGACAGATCTCTGATAGGATACGTGCACGATACTTCCTTTGATGTCCTAAGTACCACAGTCAGTCTGCGACTACATGGACATTCTAGCGATTCTCACACTGAGCGAACTCAAGACAACGCAGAACTTAACAAAGTTCACGCAAAACTTTTTTAAGTCAACGCAGACTTTTTATAAATCAACGCAGACTTTTACTAAGTCGGTAAAGACCATTTTTAAATCAACGCAGACCTGTTCCAAGTCAACGCAGACATTTTCTGAAGCAACGCAGAACTTTCTCAAGTCAACGCAGACCTTCCCTTATCAGTTCAATTTTCAATACTACACGAAAGTTAAAGTTTTTCGCAATATTAAAATTTGAGTCTCAGAATTAATTAGAAACAAATGCGGAATGCTATTGAGATGAAGAGGTAGGCTCGAATAAGAGTCAATTGATCGAAGTGCCCTAAAAGAAGCTAGTTTGTGAGTAGGAAATGTGAGGTCTAGGAATTTTCAATGAGGGTTACAATTATGATTTTGTTTTGAAAATTATTTTTAGAAATTTACACAATTTTGGAAATGATTACAATCACGAAAAAAAAATTAAAATGACAAGAAATGAATATAAATTGCAATTACAAAAGGTTTTGACAATACAAAGGAAAACATTTAGCTTGATTGGTTAGGTAAATCAACCTGCAACCGTCCATGACTGCAGTGCTATTCCTACCTGAAATAAGCACGAGTAGGGCGGTAATAGGTTGATCATATCCCTCAATATAAGAATAGTTTGACAATCTGTCACTGAATTTTTTTTTGTAAACGATGATAAAAATGAACATCTGGCTGAATACAAAAAATGTTTCATAACACTAAGTTGGGCCACAAATTGAGATACCATCTGAATGAACACCGAATGAGGAATGAGTTAACGTGAGGAATGGGAATAAAGCAACATGAGGAATGGGAATGCCGTCAAAAAGGGAATAGGAATAGATAAAAACCTTAACAGATTATGAAGGAAAAAAGTCTACCAGAAATTACATCAAAGAGAAATAATTGAACATCAATTGAATTAAAATTGATGTGGGAGCGAGAATACCCGGTGAATGACAGTTGAAAACAGCGAGTCTACGAGGAAGTGTGAATAAATTCTACATGAAAATCAATACAAATTAACTAATAGCTAAAAACCTTAATGAATATTTCTCCCCCTCAGTGTTGACATTAGAATTTCACCTGAGAGAACGTCACTGCAACCTATCAACAAGTTCAATTGACACAACAATTGCTTATTCAACATAAATGTGGGCACTAAGAGTTGACTTAAAATGTCTCGCTAAAAACTTGACTGAAAACTACCAAGATAATCGAAATCTATTTAAAACACTAGAACCACAAGTTCTCATTGAACTAATTCAGTTACAGCATCGTACTTTATTGGTGTAGAAGTTAACGCTTCCAGTCGCTTCAGAAATGTCACAAACGTGAAGGCAGAAAAAGAAGTAATTTTTATCAATAATCACGAATAAAATGAGTAAAAGCTAAGTCTATCCATCACTTTGGACCATAAATATGGATAAAATCAGAGATTGTAGTAACAAGCTAAGCGCTGCCTAGAAAGTCACGTAAAAGGAGAGGGTCTCAGACAGTCATTTGCTCGTTGCATCCATACGCATTGTTAAGTAAATAAAATATCACAAAGATTAAAATTAATGGTCTTTTTAAGGGCTAGGATTTCATATCAGGGTAAAATTGCATTTAATGAAAGGCTAAAATGAAATCTAATTTAAAACCATAAGTAGAACAGATGCACTCGCACCTCGGAGAGTTCTAATTCTAAGTATTAGATGCCTAAAAACGATCTGATCATCGGTCTTTGGAATTTTGATTTCGCCTGCGCCTTTTATATCTCCTCACGGCGGGAGCTAATATTTCTGGAGGAGACCCGCCATCTAATAACCTCTTCCGTGACCTGGTCAAAATGGGCTCAAAGACTGTGTATCTTGGAGCCAAAGGGTAGCGGGCACTTTGGTCCGCAGCTGAATGTTTGTATCCGGTATTTCGTGAAGCGGAATGGTAACCGCTCGAGAACTCGTTCGAGGGAAGAGCTCCACTGGCACCAGAGAAACTAATCTCAGCTGCAAATAATTGCCGCTTTATGATCTTGGGTTCACGAGGCTCCGACTCATTGTCAGCCAAAAAGCCACTAAAATCCAGGCGCTGTTTAGGGCTTCGAGGAAGGAACTTCTTGCCATTTAGTTCAAATCCCTGAACGAATTTCGCTCCTCGTATTTGGGACGCCAGTGCAGCATAAATTTCATCGTCGTTTGCTGCGTTGCTGTTGTTACGGGATGGAACCGTAGACGAAGGCGCGGATTTAGGCAGTTGCGGGACCCGGCCGACGAAAGAAGACGTGTTAATATCTTCCATGCTGGCCCGTCCATGGAATCTGGCCAGACTTTGGCTGTTGAAATAAGTCGGAGCAACAGGAGGTAGGCCGTTGAACGGCGCAACGAAAGTTCGGGAAGAAGCGCCGGCGATTTCTTTCATCAGGTAAGTTGAACTCAGGGTGTTCACCCGCCTCACCCGCGTTGATGACAAATACCGAGCCGCCGAAAATCTACATCTCTCTTGGGCTACGGCGAGGTCATCGACCAAATTTTGGGTGTTTGGGAGGGTGGGCCGTCGCAAGCTAGGGAGCTCCATGGCGAGAGGGTTGACGAATTCATCGAACTGCATCCACGGATGCTCGAGGACGTCTTTCGTGAAAGGACGATCTGCAGGATCAACCGCCAGGAGTTCTGGAAAAATTCGTCCGGTTAATTTCGTGGAAGCGAATGAATTTCCGACACAATATTTCTGGGTTGGAAAGAAGGATTGAGAATAATTCAGCACAGTGACATGGAGTAGAGATAAAAGAGTGAAAATATGTTTAGTGAATAACATGAAAACATGAATGAAGCGTATATAAAAATAGTAAATAACATATGTTAAATAATATTTAATTTATATCATAGCAAATTTCATTAATTAGATGATTTTAGGAATAGATTTGAACTCACCCTGCACGAGGCTTCGAACGGACGAGTTTACGTTTTCCCAGGCCTCCTCGTCGAATCTGAAGTCCCCAGCCAATATTTTGGCGAGGGGACTGGCGGTGCCTTCGAAGGGGTGCTTGCTCGACACCATCAGGTACTGCAAACACAGTAACTAGTTAGATAGTGTTGCTAGTGTTAGCTAGTGTTACTAGTGTTAGCTAGTGTTAGCTAGTGTTAGCTAGTGTTTGCTAGTGTTTGCTAGTGTTGCTAGTGTTACTAGTGTTACTAGTGTTAGCTAGTGTTAGCTAGTGTTTGCTAGTGTTAGCTAGTGTTAGGTAGTGTTAGGTAGTGTTAGCTAGTGTTAGGTAGTGTTAGGTAGTGTTGCTACAATTGTTATACCCTGAAAAGTAACTAAGTTATAAGTAAATAAGACAACTTTCGAAATTGGGAAAAAGATAGAATGTAGAATTTAAATCATGAGACATAACATAACATAAAATAGTGATGTCGGCGCTGATGAGTAGGCCTGATGTGGCCTGTCGCCGATTCTTGTACTTTTCAGGAATTGTTCACAGAAGATCTAAAATCAGGTCCATTGAACGAATATTTTCAAGACTGACGTTAGTTTAGTTTGAAATAGCTACTAGACTTCCACCGGGTTCGATGCGGTGCTAGGCATTTCTCCATAGCTTTAACTAGTCTGTTCTTGAACGCGTTTATAATCGGAGCGTCAACGATGTTACAATAAGTACCTAACAACAATATTTTTGTCACTAATAATAACAACACAAATTGTAACAAAAATAATTGTAAATTCTTATTAATTATAATCAATTCGCAACTCACCAACATGACGCCCAGACTCCACATGTCACAAGCCCGCGGGTCCGCTAGTGCAGCCTGCGGGCGACTTCTCTTGGACGGCAGCAAGGCGGCCACATTACGCTTCCTCTTGCCGCTGTACACGTCCGAGTATCCTTCACCGGCATCCTTCTTACGCTCCTCCAGATAATCTTTTATTAATTCGGGAGCCGCGAAGCTGAGGGTAAAGTTAGCCGGCGCGCGGACCGCAGACTCTGCGCCAGGGCCCGCTGAGTCTGCGTCGGGGAAGTGCTTGCACGCGAACCCGAAATCTATTATTTTAACAGACCCATTCAGCGGATCCAGCATCACGTTCTGGAAACAGAATCAAATATTATAAATAAAGTAAGGTATAAGATTGATGTTAGTTGGTAGTTTCGTACTATTTAAGGCAGTGGCGTCGTAAAATCAAACATTATGCATTATTCCCATGACTATAATTAGTTGTTTAATTATATATTCTAACGTAGCCAAATATTTCATTGATATTTTTTAAACTTTATATGACAAGAGGACATTTATTTCGAGTGAGATACGAAGTCAAATAAATATTGTCGGGGAAGTACGACATCAAAAGAGGTTGGCCAATAAATGGCGCCTTTCTTTCTCCAATAAATGGCCGACAGAGAAGAAAATACCAATGCATAGCATTTATGGCGCAGTAAACTTAAGGACATATAACTTACCTCAGGCTTGAGGTCTCGGTGAGCAATGTTGAGTGTGTGGAGGTGATCGACCGCGACGCAGATTTTTTCGAATACGTCGCGTATTTTCATCTCAGTTGTTTCGGCGTTACGGTGAAGGTACGAGCGCAGGTCTTCACCAGCCACCAGCTCCGTGACGATGTAGGAAAACGCCTGGGCAAATTACGGAGAAATAGGAAGTGAAAATTGCTGACGGTGGAATAGGAGTAGTGATGGTGAAATAGGAGTGATGACGGTGGAATAGGAGTGATGATGGTGGAATAGGAGTGATGATGGTGGAATAGGAGTGATAACGGTAGAATAAGTGATGACGTTGGAATAAGAGTTATGACAAAAGAATTCCAGTGATAAAGATGGACAACAGAGAAACATGAATAATTCCATAAAAATATTAATGGTAGCAATTTAATAGGAGTGATTAAACAACAATAGATGTGATGTCACTGGATGTACAAGTACATGAACATGACGGCAATGACTGCTGAGGTATGATGAGGTATGACCGAACCTGGCAGAATATTTAATGCAGGCAGAGTGCAGCATCAATAAATTATTATACTCAAAAATTAATTATTATATTAATTTATTGTTATAATGGTTCATTTCAACAGAAAACATCTCACGCCACAAATGCCGCGAAGTTCCCTGGCATATCAGGTATTCGTGTTACTCTAAAGCAAGATAAAAGAGAAAATGTTCCTACACTCACCATATCTTGAATAAAGTCGATGAACTTGATTATTGAGTGATGCCCCTGAGCTGATGTCAGCATTTGGACCTCCATGGAGCAATCGAGAGCCCGAGGTACCACCTTGACGGCGTAAGTTTGGCTGGTACGCGTGCTGGTACGCGTGCTGGTACAGCGCAGCACCAGGCCGCTTGAACCTTGGCCTATGGCGGGCTCGTTGAAGTCAATTGCGTACTTCTGGAAGAACGCCGATATCTGCGGGGTAAAAAGAGGGTTATGGAGGAGGGTTAAGGGTAGACGAGTGTTAAAAAAAGGTTATGAAGATGCTTATGGAGGGACTTATGGAGTGGGGTTAAGGATTGACGAGGATTAAAAGAGGGTTATGGAGTGTGATCAAGGAACATGAGTAAAAGAGGGTTACGGAGTGGGGTTAAGGATGGGCGAGGATTAAAAGAGGGTTATGGAGTGGGGTTAGAGCGGTGGCACACGTTATAATAAGAGACATGAGGAAGAGACAAGAGATGTTGAGTATATTGCAACCACAAGATCGCTGAACAGCGTGTTTGTTGGGAACATGTTTCACGGGCACAGGCTACAGTACTACAAAACAAGGCACAGTAGTAAGGTACAGAACACTTTACTACACAACAAGGTGCAGTAGTACACAACAAGGTACACTAGTACAGAACAAGGTACAGTGGTGAAGCACAGTACTACACAACAAGGCACAGTAGTGAAGTCCAGTACACTTTACTACACAACAAGGCACAGTAGTACTAGATAACAAGGTACAGTACACAGTACCACACAAGGTACAGTACTACACAACAAGGCACAGTACTCGATGTACTCACGCCAGCAGCAGCGACGACGCTGAGGTCTCGCACGCAGGGCGCGGCGCGTCTCGTGGTCGCGTGCAGCACGACGGCCTCCAGGGCGACACCCGCTGGTGAGTGCTGGTAGTTCTGGGGGTGGTGACGTGGTGTTAGTGGTGTTAGTGGTGGCATTAAAGTTACTGATGACGGTAACGTAGGTGTGTTATAATTAGCGTAGACTTAGTGATAGATATGCTCAAAAATTGTTACAATCTTGGGCTTAGAACGAATTATATATAACAATAATGAAATATTTTTTCATGAAACAATAAGTAAACTACAACGAGAAATTCCCCAGGAAATAAACACAATATAGCAATAAAATATTACACGTGAAGTGGTCTCACTTTGAACCAACGAGGGTAATTAAGACAGATTGAACCATTATAATAATATCAAACTGAAGGTGGTTTCTCACTTTGAACCAGATGTGTCGGAGTCCGTCCATCTCGAGCGTGGTCATGACGAGGTCCTTACACGTGAAGTTACGATGAAAATTAGCCACGTCGTCGTCCCTGTAGAGGACCGGCACAAAGGGCGGCCTCACGCGGCGGGCGCTTAGGGCAGCCCAATCCATGCCCTGTGTCGTTAAAATACGTTATTGATGGTATATTTTACGTTATTGATGGAATATTTTACGTTATTACTGCACTGCTTTACGTTATTGGCACACAGCTTTACGTAACAGCTTTACGTTATCGACGCATTTCTTTATGCTACTAGTACAAGTTGTCACGATCACCAAAAAGAAAGTCATTCGAGCAAAATAATTCAATTCAGAAAAAATCGACCAAAAACAACGCTTGGCCCACGACAAGTTCTTAACATAAAGTTATATGAACGTTTAGAGTTAAGAACTCGCCTCAAAGAAGGGATGGTTCTTCAGTTCTGCGGCCCCATTGTTATAGCCCAGCCGCTGGGTCTGGTCCCGCGCGATGAGCCTGGAGATGAAGTCTGCAGCCTTCGGGGACAGCGAAGGAGGCATCTGCACCTCCAGAGACAGGATGCGTCTGTAGGATCACAGCAGGAGTTCATGATAGAGGCGGTGGTAAGGTTTGATTAGGGTATGAGAAACTAGTGGGTTAAGTGACCGACCAATTAGGGCATGAGGAACTAGTGGGCTAAGTGACCGATAAATCAACTATGATGGGTTTAGTCTTTGTCTATGATTGGCATAATAATGTTCTAATGTTGGTGTAACATTGCTGTCAAATTATGAAAATGCAAGAGCAATTTTCTGAGTGATTCAAGTATGCGATAACAGCTCAGGCGTTCGAAATCTCAACCCCAATACTCCCACAGTAACCCCAACACCCCCAGTAACCCCAACACCTCCAGTAACCCCAACACCCCAGTAACCCCAACACCCCCAGTAACCCCAAAACCCCAACACCTCATCAACGCACCGAGCAAGCTTGGCGTTTCCGTCATTATTCAAATCCTATGTAAATAATATCTACATTATAGCCATTTAATTTACTACAATAAAACTTAATAATATCAACAATATTTGCCACTAATAACACTGAATAATATCATGAATATTTGGCGCTAATAGGACTTAATATCAACAATCTGTGCCACTAATAAATCAGAATAATATCAATAATATTGAACAACAACAAGACTGAATAATATCAACAATCTATGCAAGTAATAAGACTGAATAATATCAACAATACTTGCCACTAATAAGAGTGACTAATATCAACAATATTTGCCACTAATAACACAGAATAATATCAACAACATTTGCCACTAATAACACTGAATAATATCAAGAATATATAACAAGACTCACGGCGTGCAGCTTCTCGACGGCCAGGACCATCTCCCCCACGTAGAAGCGCGTGTGGTCTTCGCTCATTTGTCCTCCGCGATTAAAATGGAAAAATAATTCGCCCCCTTGGATGAAGTCTGCTCAGAGCAACACAAAGTTAATTTCTGATTATGAGCAACTACGTGAACATTGAACAGTGTATACTGTATATAAGAATGAACCGTATATACTGGCACAGCTTAGGAACATAACAATGAACAGTATATATGCACTGGCACAGTTCAGCTAGAGAACATGACAATATACCAACAATAAAGAAGCCAGTAAATATTTACGACACCACAAATACTTGGATCTTATCGCTATAATCTACTAAGTAGGTAGATTATAGTCTAGGACTAGGTAAATTATAGTCAAAGACTAGGTATATTATAGTCAAAACGACTTGGATGTCATCGCTATATAATCTATTTACAGTCTACGCAAAGAACATTTTCAGTTCAGTTCATCTAGAACAAGTTTAGCCGTATCACCCACAGCACCCTTATGAATTAAGCTGTTACCTATGACTATGACCCACACCACTTTCAGCACCCACCCATGACCTAATTATGACCCTATCACTCACCCATCACGACCCCATGACTCGCCCATAACCCCATGACTCACCCACATGGTGGGATTCTAGGGCTAGCGTTGGGCTGGGTCGGTGCCCACCCATAACCCCCATCACCCATGACCCACCCATCACCCCATCACCCAAGACACTCACCCATCACCCCACCACACATGACACTTACCCATCACAAGATAGAGGAAAAGTTCGTCCTGGAAAGCATATTTGAGTTGAGCGAAGGAAGGATCGTCCTGCAGCAGACGGAGGACCTGCAGCTCTGTGTAGGCGTGCTCCACGGCCTTGGTCCGCTGCAGCAGGACGCACTTCCTCACCACCTTCATGGCGTAGGTCTTGCCTACGTCAGCACCAGTCATCTTCCTCACCAGGAACACCGTGCCGTATGCTGCACACAACATATGNGGACTATGGTATTCCTACCAGGTAACGGGGACTATGGTATTCCTACCAGGTAACGGGGACTATGGTATTCCTACCAGGTAACGGGGACTATGGTATTCCTACCAGGTAACGGGGACTATGGTATTCCTACCAGGTAACGGGGACTATGGTATTCCTACCAGGTAACGGGGACTATGGTATTCCTACCAGGTAACGGGGACTATGGTATTCCTACCAGGTAACGGGGACTATGGTATTCCTACCAGGTAACGGGGACTATGGTATTCCTACCAGGTAACGGGGACTATGGTATTCCTACCAGGTAACGGGGACTATGGTATTCCTACCAGGTAACGGGGACTATGGTATTCCTACCAGGTAACGGGGACTATGGTATTCCTACCAGGTAACGGGGACTATGGTATTCCTACCAGGTAACGGGGACTATGGTATTCCTACCAGGTAACGGGGACTATGGTATTCCTACCAGGTAACGGGGACTATGGTATTCCTACCAGGTAACGGGGACTATGGTATTCCTACCAGGTAACGGGGACTATGGTATTCCTACCAGGTAACGGGGACTATGGTATTCCTACCAGGTAACGGGGACTATGGTATTCCTACCAGGTAACGGGGACTATGGTATTCCTACCAGGTAACGGGGACTATGGTATTCCTACCAGGTAACGGGGACTATGGTATTCCTACCAGGTAACGGGGACTATGGTATTCCTACCAGGTAACGGGGACTATGGTATTCCTACCAGGTAACGGGGACTATGGTATTCCTACCAGGTAACGGGGACTATGGTATTCCTACCAGGTAACGGGGACTATGGTATTCCTACCAGGTAACGGGGACTATGGTATTCCTACCAGGTAACGGGGACTATGGTATTCCTACCAGGTAACGGGGACTATGGTATTCCTACCAGGTAACGGGGACTATGGTATTCCTACCAGGTAACGGGGACTATGGTATTCCTACCAGGTAACGGGGACTATGGTATTCCTACCAGGTAACGGGGACTATGGTATTCCTACCAGGTAACGGGGACTATGGTATTCCTACCAGGTAACGGGGACTATGGTATTCCTACCAGGTAACGGGGACTATGGTATTCCTACCAGGTAACGGGGACTATGGTATTCCTACCAGGTAACGGGGACTATGGTATTCCTACCAGGTAACGGGGACTATGGTATTCCTACCAGGTAACGGGGACTATGGTATTCCTACCAGGTAACGAGGACTATGGTATTCCTACCAGCATGTCTGTCACGGTAACAGTTTTTGGACACTGGTAACACCGTCTTATCTGTCGCGACGCTAAAACGTTACCCAAGGCTACACGAGACATGTAATACATGAACTCAGTTACACACACAATCATTCATGTATAAATGAATAAAAATATTCACTCACCACCACTGCCGAGCTGCTTGAGTGCCTTGAAGTGAGTTACATCCACGTAGTCAGCGCTCATTTTGCTGTCTGTAAATGAAATAATCAATTAAATATACATGAATTAGAATTTTTGTATTAGATATAAATACAAAGTCAATTAATTGGTGACATAAATGCATTCAGACACACAGCTCTACAAACAGGCTGCTACGCAGTCAATATACAAGAATAAACAGTTCCAATAATTCATATATTAATATGAATACTAAAATACATGCGATACTTATAAAAAATAAAAAATTAATAATAATAAAGGGAAATCGAAGTATAAGAGAAAAATAAATTATGAAAATGAAGGGAGAAACGATTGTTAGGAGAGGCGAATTATGGCATTGAAAAGAAGACGCAATTAAAGAGGAGATAAAAATGAGAAGAAGGATGTACAGAAGCAGAAGTAATACGGCCTATAGTCCTATACGATATAGAGACGATATAGAAATGGAGGATAAATGTAGAATCCTTGAACGGTTCCTATGCCTCTCCCTTCGCTGCTACGTCCAAGGGCGATGGACATGTGAAGCAACTCGAGATAAACCGCGTAGAACGAAAGATAACGAGAGTGATAACGCAGCGTGAGAGTGACGCTAGCGTGAGAGTGACACCAGCGTGATGGCCTCAGACTGCACATAGCATGACAAGTGTGATTGGTAGCTGTGCAGTGGTGCAGGGTCCCACTAGGTCTTGACGAATTTTATGAAGTGTTACCTAGCACAAAAAAACTCAAGTGTGACAAAGTGTCAAAGAGTGTGATAAAGTATTAATGAGTGTCAGAAAGTAGTATTAATGAGTGTGTCACAACTGTCACTAGGTGTGTCCTAAGCATTGTAGTGTCACAAGTGTCACTAGGTATGTCCTAAGCATTGTAGTGTCACAAGTGTCACTAGGTGTGTCCTAAGCTGTGCAGTGTCACAAGTGTCACTAGGTGTGTCCTAAGCTGTGTAGTGTCACAAGTGTCACTAGGTGTGTCCTAAGCTGTGTAGTGTCACAAGTGTCACTAGGTGTGTCCTAAGCTGTGTAGTGTCACAAGTGTCACTAGGTGTGTCCTAAGCTGTGTAGTGTCACAAGTGTCACTAGGTGTGTCCTAAGCTTTGTAGTGTCACAAGTGTCACCGCGTATCACGTGTGACGAGGTGTCGGCAGCGCTACGCTCCGCTGACGCCTGAGAGTTACGCAAGCTGAGCGAGCTGAGTGGTGATGTGGTGTGGTGATGTGGTGTGTTGTGGTGACGATGTGGTGTGGTGGTGACGGTGTGGTGTGGTGGTATGATGGTAGTGGCGATATGGAGGTAAAGTGGTAGTATTGACGTAGTAATGGCTAAGGTAATGGTAACGTAATGGTAACGTTGATGAGAATCACAAGGTAATAAGACCTCCGGCGATAGTTTTAAGAGTACACTTATTTCCACACACAAGCCAGCACTCACACAGCCTGTATATATTCACCAGACACTCAATCAGGAACTGTATGAGCATACAAACACGTTTTGTCGGTATGTGTGTGTGTATGTGTGAACGCACTTCGGAAACGTTCACTTTCATTCAGGTCAATCGTGCTGCTCTCATGAGTGAATGTGACTTTCATGTTTCTCGCTCCGCATTCATTAACACATTCACATGCATGTTGTATACACATGAATAGTGTATTAAATGTACCTGCAACGACGAGTTAACACGCGCACGCCATACAGCAACGAGGTCACGTATACATTGAGTGCCTTGAGTTCTCAGGCGTTCGGGGTAAATGTAGAAAATTTGGGGTAAATATAAAGGATATGGAGTAACAATGAGAATATAGGCTACAGCCTGGATAACATTTATGCAGCTCACGTAGCGAAGACATAGCGCCGACATACCGCCCACATGACAGCAACATAGGCTTACATAGCGCATATATAACAGCAACATAGGGCCGACATAGCGTGGACATAGTGCGGACATAGCGCGGACATAGCGCGGACATAGCGCGGACATAGCGCAGACATAGTGCGGACATAGCGTGGACATAGCGTGGACATATCGTGGACATAGCGTGGCCATAGCGTGGACATAGCGCAGACATAGCGCGGACATAGCGTGTACATAGCGCGGACATAGCGTGTACATAGCGCGGACATAGCGTGTACATAGCGCGGACATAGCGTGTACATAGCGCGGACATAGCGCGGACATAGCGCTGACATAGTGCGGACATAGCGCAGACATAACGCGGACATAGCGTGGACATAGCGCAGACATAGCGCGGACATAGCGTGTACATAGCGCAGACATAGCGTGTACATAGCGCGGACATAGCGTGTACATAGCGCAGACATAGCGTGTACATAGCGCGGACATAGCGTGTACATAGCGCAGACATAGCGCGGACATAACATATACAGGTCAGTGGGCCGCATTGATTGACCTGCCGCCGCGTCCTAGTTTGACGGCAAGTAATACGGCAGCTAATGTCGGTCACATGTTACGATGTCCTTACGACGTCGTAACCCAAACAGCAACCAAACTCAAAGCTTTGGTCTTCATCGTAAGTTCTGACCGTAAGTCTGTCTGTGCAACAGTAAATTTCCGACGCCTTTGCTTTCCAAAGTTGGCACAAAAAATTAGTTCGATCGAAAATGCCGTAGGCAGCAAATGTATGTACACACCTACACCTGTACAAGACTTCAATGTACAGGGCACAGCAGCTGTGTGCATCTACACCTGTACACGACTATACAGGGGACAGCAGCATACACCTGTACACGCCTGTACAGAGCACAGCTGGTGCAGCTATCGAGGTCAAGCTGCAGTTGGCATCAGCGTATGCATCTGCACAAGACAGCGTGTATCTCTTTACTTATTTCTCTCCTTCTCTCTCTCTCACTCTCTCTCTCTTTCTCTCTCTCTCTTTCTCTCTCTCTCTCTCCCTTTCCTGCAAATTCCGTCATGTAGGTGTTTGTTTTGTAGGTGTATGTTATGTAGGTGCATGCTATGTAGGTGTATGTTATGTAGGTGCATGTTAATGATGTTATGTAGGTGTATGACTATGTTATCTAGGTGTATGTTATGTAGTTGTAGGTATGTTATGTAGGTGTATGTTATATAGGTGCATGTTATCTACGTGCATGTTATCTAGGTGCATGTTATGTAGGTGTATGTTATGTAGGTGCATGTTATGTAGGTGCATGTTATCTAGGTGTATGTTATGAAAGTGTATGTTGTGTGGTACATTCGGGTTTGATATGTTAGATTAATATAAACGAGCTTCAAAACTTTGTTAAAAAAATAAAAATTAATATCATCAGGTATTTATTTTGTGTTAAATTGTGAATGAATTAAATATCAAATAAAAAATAAATATCAGAAGTCTGGTACTACTTGAAAAAAAATAAGAACAGGCAACTAGTACCAGACATCTATCAAGTAGTGCCAGACATCTGTCAACTAGCACCAGACATCTAATAAGTAGTGCCAAACATCTGTCAACAAGTACAAGACATCTGTCAACATGTACAAGACATCTGTCAACTAGCACCGGACATCTGTCAACTGGTACCAGTCATCTGTCAACTAGCACCGGATATCTGTCAACTAGTACCAGTCATCTGTCAACTAGTACCGGACATCTGTCAACTAGCACAAGACATCTGTCAACTAGCACCAGACATCTGTCAACTAGCACCAGTCATCTGTCAACTAGCACCAGACATCTGTCAACTAGCACCAGTCATCTGTCAACTAGTACCAGACATCTGTCAACAAGCCCAAAACATCTGTCAACTAGCACTAGACATCTGTCAACTAGAACCAAACATATGTCAACTTGTACCAGACATATGTAACCTAGTACCAGTCATCTATCAACTAGCACCAGACATCTGTCAACTAGCACAAGACATCTGTCAACTAGCACCAAACATCTGTCAACTAGCACCAGACATATGTCAACTTGTACCAGACATATGTAACCTAGTACCAGTCATCTGTCAACTAGCACCAGACATCTGTCAACTAGCACAAGACATCTGTCAACTAGCACCAAACATCTGTCAACTAGCACCAAACATCTGTCAACTAGCACCAGACATATGTCAACTAGCACCAGACATCTTTCAACTAGAACCAAACATATGTCAACTAGAACCAAACATCTGTCAACTAGTGCCAGACATCTGTCAACTAGAACCAAACATCTGTCAACTAGTACCAGACATCTGTCAACTAGTGCCAGACATCTGTCAACTAGCACCAGACATCTGTCAACTAGTACCAGACATCTGTCAAAAGTCACGTAAGCAACACGTATAACGAAGATAAGGCTGACGCGATATCAAACCGTGTCAGAATTCCGAGGAAAAAGCCTAGAACCTAAGCCCGACTATGGGCAATAAAAATGACGTTGCAATTTAGATGAAAACATGCGCGATAAGAAAGATACCCATAAATTACCTAGAACTCTAATTTCGTCTTCGATAACAGAATGAAATCGTTTGCCAAACATGATAAATATTTTCCATTTGTTCCTGCTTCAGTTATACTTTTTCCCTCTTGGACTTCGTACCTTTCTTCATCGCCTTTTTGTAACTCTTCTTGATTTACTGCACTATTCCCTTCCAACTCTTCAATCTTTTTGCTCTCTCCTCATTTATACTTCTTCTCCCCTCTCACTCCCTCTCCCCTCTCACTCCCTCTCCCCTCTCACTCTCTACCCCCTCTCTCTGCCTCTTCCGCCCGGAAGTAGGAAGTGTACGGAAATGAGTGCCAGCACACGGAGGTTACACTTCCGCCCAAGTGAGCGTTTTGCATGGAAGACGTACACGGAGCACGTGCCCTCAAAAAAACGCACACACAGAGCACGTGTGCTGAAAAAACACACACACGGATCACGTACGCTGAAAAAGCGCACACACAGAGCACGTGTGCTGAAAAAACGCACACACGGATCACGTACGCTTAAAAAACGCACACGCAGAGCACGTGTACATGGTCGAGCGTTTTGCGTGTGGTGCATGAAGTGCTAAGCTGTGCGTGTAGAAGTATGAAGTGTTCCGAGCGTTGCGTGTTGTGTGACAGCAATGCAGGAAGCGGAGTATCTCTAGTGTGCCTACGCTGCAGTGCTGGCAGTCAGCATTGCTGTCACTGCCCTGCCAGAAGTGACAGCAATAGAAAACAATAGTGACGGTAAATGTTATGACAACAGTGATTGCGAAAGTAATGGCAATGCCTACTGTCCTACAGTGATGATATGGAGACAGTGATAGCAATAATGCTATCCATACAGGTTGCCACACAGGTGTGTGGCATGCATGCCACACACACCTGTGTGGCATGCATGTGTTACAGAGCTGCCATATGTAGTGTCAGCAAAAGATGGCAATATAGTTCTAGGAATTCAATAAGAAAATAGTAATTATAGGCAAATATTTGGGTATTTCTTGACTAATATGTCTCAAGATAATTATTTAAATGTTTCATATTTATTATGTGGAAAATTCTTAGAGAAACTATTGTCAGGAATTTAGGATTACTATATACGGAAATATCTCAGGGTAACTATTGACAGGTTTTTAGTAGAAGAAAATCGGGAAAGTTTTCCAATAAAAGTCTTGGTAAGCTTCGTTTTCGTACACACGATGACGAACATTAGCGAAACCATCGTCATGGCAACGTCCTTCACCAAGGTCAGGTTTGTTTACATCGAACATGAGCGTAAACAACATAGAACTAAAAGCAATTTAGAGCGTCTACATAAAATTCTATTTCAGATATCGAGTGAAAATTTTATAATTAGTAAATGTAAGCCATCAAAATGTGGTAATTATCTACCGTACCTGCAGCCGAAGGTAATCCCAGATACCTTCAATATATATAATGAAAATACTTTAAAAGATTTTGTTTCAAATCTACTCTCATATAGGTACTTTAATTTCACGTTAAAAGAGCGCGGCGTTATTAGTATTTTTTCGTATTTTCTTCTATATATCGACGTAGAGTGGGAGTTTGGTAGGGCGGTGAGTGGGATGAGGGGGATGAGGGGGATGAGGAGGATGAGAGGGGAGGAGAAGGGCAAAGGTTGCCATGGTTACGGTTGTGACGTGATAGCAAAATCTTTCCCTCAAAAATAATTTTTAATAACTATTCATAAATAAAAATATAACGCGTCGACTCTGAGAATTTATCTTCCCAGACTAACCCCACAACTAATCCCACCACGAAGAGGGGTTCAAAAAACCCCACCCACAAAATCGACAATCCGCATCCTCATGAGGAAGAACGAACTCTATTTTTCCACGAATCCTCATTCCTCGTAAGCCGCTTTTCCCCACCGTGCAAACCTAGCCCCATAACTGAGCCCCGTTACCCCACAACAGTCTGAGGAATGGGGGTGTAGGGGGAGGTGGAGGGAGGATCTTTCAGAGTAAGGAAAATTCCCCAAAATCGAGCTTCGTTCTGGGAGCTAACCCCTCATTCCCCAACCCCAAGGGAATGGGGTTTTCGTGCCCTTTACAGCAACTCTAGCGATCACGAACAAATGCATCAACACATGAACAATAATTATATAGTAACAAATTAAATAGCTTCACAATAATATCTGGCAACATAATGTACAATACTGTAATGCAATATAATGTACAATACCTAATAATACCAAACAATACAATAGTTTGATGAGAAAGGGAGAGGGAAGTGAGTGGGAGTAAGAGGGAAGCGAGTGGAAGGGGAGGGAAGCGTGGAGGTGAGAGGGAAGCGAGTGGAGGGGAGAGGGAAGCGAGTGGAGGGGAGAGGGAAGCGAGTGGAGGGGAGAGGGAACCGAGTGGAGGGGAGAGGGAAGCGAGTGGAGGGGAGAGGGGAGCGAGTGGGAGTGAGAGGGAAGCGAGTGGGAGGGAGAGGGAAGCGAGTTAGAGGGAGAGGGACGCGAGTGGGAGCGAGTAAAAGGGAGATGGAAGGGAGAGGGAGAGGGAAGTGAGTGTGATGGAGGGGAAAGAGAATGGAATAAGTTAAGAGCGAGTCAAATGAATAAAAAACCAAGAGAAATGAATAAGAAATCGAGAGATAATGAAAAAATGAAAGTTCATATATGTAAAATTTCAAGGACAAGTAGGAATTTGTTTACTGCTAAGGCAAATTTATATCCTTCAGTTCTACAGGGTACTCACGGTCTGGAGTGACGGACAGCGACGGGTGAACTATTTTTCCAGTCAGTCTCTCGGGGTATTTTGGAGGCGTTATTTCTGACTTCCTCTTGGTTTCGTCCAAACATTCGACGACCTTAATTTCCAGTCCACTTTTGTAGTTCCAGGCTGGCTCCTCTTGTCCTTCTGGAGACATATTCAAATGCGTTGGGCGGCGGTCATTTGAACGATCGGGGATTGAAAGGGCAGAGTGGTTGACAGAGTTTATGGATTGTGGATTAACTTGGCCGGGAGTTGGGCCGACGACAGGTCTAGCTGCAGTACGAGGTCCTGCAGGTTTAGCCTGAGTTCTGTTATAAGAATGTTTACTGCAACAGTAAGGAGTTAGGCGTTTTCTGTTGCAAGATGGTGGTGTGCCAGAGGGACTTAGGATGATACTTGATGAAGCAGAAAGTGTATCAGATCCGAACGACGGAGAAGTCAAAGGCGTCGCAGGAGAACGGGTAATAGAATTTCGGCGCAATAAGAGAGTGGAAGGAAATATCACAGTCTCAGTACTCGAATTCATCGCATTTTCGTCTAATCCTATCGCGGCAGTGGAGGATTTCACCAAAGGAGAGGAAGGAAGAGCCCTACTTTTCATAGGTGTCGTCATTTTCTGCGGAGAGTTGATATCGCTATAGCGTCCGAAGTCGTCAGCAGAGCTAATGTCCGAAAATTTGTTAATGTACGGACTGTTGACTTTTGCTGGGGAATCAGCTATCACTTCTGGAACTTGTAGCCGAGAGGTGCTGGGAACAAGCTTTGCACTCGCTACCGTGGAAGAGGAGGATATTGCCAAAGGGGAAATAGGGAGAGCTCTGCTTTTCACTGGCGTCATCATTTTCTGCGGAGAGTTGATATCACTAAAGCGTCCATCATCAGCAGAGCTAATGTCCGAAAATTTGTTAGTGTATGGACTACGGACTTTCGCTGGAGGACCAGCAATAAGTTGAGGAACTTGTGGCCGAGTGTTGCAGGTAACAACCTCTATCTCGTTTGAATCTCGCGCAACGGTGCGAGCAGGAAATTGGGTCAAATCAATCACTTCTTGGACCTGATTATTGATACCCGCAGGTTGAGGTAGCGATGAGTATACCATTTCTAGAGGGCTACTACTGCGGGGTGGAAGGTATCTTGTAGAGGAAATGCTGGCATCTGCACGAGTAGCTTGCTCATCTGGCGAATAACTGAATGGGTTAACAACCATTCCTGGTAAATAGATTGGTGACTGTACATGCATATTCATGATATATTTTTGGGGAGTGATGGCAGCTGGCAACTGAACTGTTTGAGTCATTACAGGAAAACACATCGGTGACTGTACGTCTTGTTGAATTGCGCATTCTGTGTGCGCGGTTCTTATTTCAGATGAGACTGGAGAGTCGCTGACGCTGTTGCCCGCCGACCCGGACCTCACTGTACCGTAGCCGCTTGAGGCCACTGAAGATTCTGGCGTCTGCACGTTACTTCTTGGAGAAGAATCATTCGAGCACCTTAAGTGACTACGTACACTGTTTTCAACGGGAAGACTTGCAACTATCGGTGAAACTTCATCTTTTGGCTTACTGGTTGAATCTGAACCGGAGGATGCCACGCACTCCTCTTCTACCTCCTGATCGTCGCTCAGCTCGACAACTTCGATGTTGGAAGCAACACTCAGATCAACCACCTCGCTTTCTTCAACAATCTGAGTCCTACTGACACTTAGAAATCCTGAATTAGGGGACGCTACCGCGCAGTCTAACCATTCATGGAATCCATAAGGCTGACTGGAATGTCCAACAACTGATGAGTCTGACTGCGCCAGGAAAGCAGGGTTCAGAAGGTTCGGCGAGTTGTTCTGGCACTCGATGACAATATTGTTGGCCATGTTACAACCTAACCTACTGGCACCTTGGTAGTCATACACGACTTCCTCACGGCAGGGAGAAGCAATGCCGTCGTCCCTTGAAGTTTCCTGTCTAGAAACCTTCTCGCTTTGATGATCTTCGTGCGACTGTAGTTGACTTGGAGCGTCACTCGTAACACTAGTGACAGCGCTAGTGACGGCACTACTGCTACTAGCACCACACTTGAGACACACTTTGCAAGTTCTCTGGCTGCCGTCGGGACAGCTCAAGACGCGGGTAGTGCGGTACTCCTTATCGCAGTTGCACATACCAAGACCAGAATCCTTAGACTTAGAACTAAGGCTTTTCGGTTCGCTGGACATTTCGCCTGGACGATCGCAGATCCACACAGAGTTCAACTTTTAATACCGTCACACGTTCAATACAGGTTCGCTTTTCAGCAGCTCGCACTAAGTTTCACTTCAATGAAGGCACAATCGAAGACATACACGACGCAAATCACGCTTATACGAGGCGGCCCACGCGAAACGATGGCTCGGACTCAGCGAAAACAGGAATCTCTGCAAGAGAAAAAATGAATAATTAGTAGATATTATGCAAGTATCAAAGGAACTCACGTTAACATAAAATAGTAAATACAACTTCAACATGAGAAATGAATGCGTGAACGTACATCCTGCACCAGTGCTGAAAATTTCCAGTCAGCAATTAATTCCACAGTGCATGCCGAAGTACGTTCCCATTACAATTCATTGTTACAGTGTACAGTTAGAGAGCCCAGTTACAGAGCACAGTGACAACACCGTTACAGGGCACCGTTACAGTTACCCAGCACTGTCACAATGACACAAACCAGTAAAGAGTACCGTACAACGTTACAATGCTACGTTAAAGTGCACCGTTATAAATTACCGTCACACTACACCATTACAGTGCACCGTTACAGTTACCAACACTATTGCAGTACATCACTACAGTTACTCAGCACCGTTACAGTGCACAGTTACAAGGAATGCAGCAAGCGCCAGACGCTACACCGGCATTTCACTTTCTACGGCGAGTGTAACAGTAAAGGTGGGGGCGTGCGGGGGGTGAGGTTAGGGCTACCGGGGAGGGGGAGGTGTCTGCTACGAAGGAAGGCGAGGGGGGGGGAATGGGGAGGGTTGGCTTGGTTATTCAAAAAAGGTCATTGAATCACTACACTCAACACCATCTTATCAATGATGAGTTAGATGTTATTGAAGAACGTACAAGCAGTCTTGCAAACACACAAACCTACACATCCACTCACACAATGAATGCCAGCACCGTACACCCACCCAAGCACCAAAAACACACACACACATCACACCCCCACTCACACAACATACAGCCACATACCGTCCACACAAACACACAAGCCAAGTGTAAAAAAATCAACGCCGGCTTTAAAAAAAAACTAAGACCGAGCAGACGCCTCAGTCCCTAGGGGGGTGAACATGAGGGGGGTGGGAGGAGGGCATGAACATGAAGAGGGGTGGGGTGTGACATGAACATGGAGCTGCTGAACATGATCACGGAACATGTAACAGGTGAACAAGTGAAGCAACTGAACACGAAACAGACAATCATGAAGCAGCAACATGAACCTGTCTCTTATACACATCTAGATGTGTATAAGAGACAGCTTCAGCCCCGTTCCTCACAACCCCACCCCGGGGGAGCTATCGCCAACTCCATCCAACACAAATAACAACAAGAACACAAATAACAACAAGAATAGAAAAAATTTATCCATATAAATGAGATTTTCTAACGATATTCACACAGCTTCTGCGTTCTATTAGATAGCGAAAAACAGCACAAAATGCATTAATAAAAATGTTGTGGTAGAACAAGGAATGCATTATATGGATATGAACTGCAGCAGCACTAGTGCAGCAACACTAGTGGCAGCAGCACTAGTGGCAGCAGCCCTAGTGGCAGCAGCGCTAGTGGCAGCAGCACTAGTGGCAGCACTAGTGGCAGCAGCACTAGTGGCAGCAGCACTAGTGGCAGCACTAGTGGCAACACTAGTGGCAGCAGCACTAGTGGCAGCACTGCAGCTTTCTCTCGACTCCAGCGCTTCAAGATTTCACTTTCACCGACACAGCAGAACACATCAGGTGCACCACACATCAGGTGCACCACACATCAGGTGCACCACACATCAGGTGCACCACACATCAGGTGCACCACACATCAGGTGCACCACACATCAGGTGCACCACACATCAGGTGCACCACACATCAGGTGCACCACACATCAGGTGCACCACNNNNGACGGAAGTACGGAAAGTGAAGTGCAGTTGTGAGAAAGTGCGGACGGAAGTACGGAAAGTGAGGTGCAGTTGTGAGAAAGTGCGGACGGAAGTACGGAAAGTGAGGCGCAATAGAGGGGCATTGAGAAGTGAAGTATGGTGTTTTTGAGGGAAAGTGAATGGTGAATCAAGTCGCAGCAATAGTAAAGTGAGAAGTGAGGTGCAGAAGAAGAAAAGAAGGGTTCAGTAATGATGACTGAGGGGCATTTAAGGAATAATAATGAGAAGGCAAGAGAGGTGCAGTAGGAGAGAAGGCAGGCGAGGTGCAGTGATTGACAGTGAGGTGTAGTGAGGGGAAGTGAGGTGCAGAGAAGTGCAATAGTAGAGAAGGGAAGTGAGGTGTAGTGAGGGGAAGTGAGGTGCAGAGAAGTGCAATAGTAGAGAAGGGAAGTGAGGTGTAGTGAGGGGAAGTGAGGTGCAGAGAAGTGCAATAGTAGAGAAGGGAAGTGAGGTGTAGTGAGGGGAAGTGAGGTGCAGAGAAGTGCAATAGTAGAGAAGGGAAGTGAGGTGTAGTGAGGGGAAGTGAGGTGCAGAGAAGTGCAATAGTAGAGAAGGGAAGTGAGGTGTAGTGAGGGGAAGTGAGGTGCAGAGAAGTGCAATAGTAGAGAAGGGAAGTGAGGTGTAGTGAGGGGAAGTGAGGTGCAGAGAAGTGCAATAGTAGAGAAGGGAAGTGAGGTGTAGTGAGGGGAAGTGAGGTGCAGAGAAGTGCAATAGTAGAGAAGGGAAGTGAGGTGTAGTGAGGGGAAGTGAGGTGCAGAGAAGTGCAATAGTAGAGAAGGGAAGTGAGGTGTAGTGAGGGGAAGTGAGGTGCAGAGAAGTGCAATAGTAGAGAAGGGAAGTGAGGTGTAGTGAGGGGAAGTGAGGTGCAGAGAAGGGCAATAGTAGAGAAGGGAAGTGAGGTGCAGTGAGGGGAAGTGAGGTGCAGTGAAGTGCAATAGTAGAGATGGGAAGTGAGGGGAAGTGAGGTGCAGTGAAGTGCAATAGTAGAGAAGGTAAGTGAGGTGCAGTGATGTGCAGTGAGGGGAAGTGAGAGGAAGTTCTGTGCCAGTGAGGGGTCGAGGTCTGCCTGGAAGTAGGCGAAGGTTACCCCGGCGCGGGGGAAGGAGGGGAGGGGGAGGGGGGCAGACACAGAACATGTATGACGTTTGTGCATAACGGTATCCTAAAAATTACCTATTTACCGTATCGCATCGCAAATACTAAATACCGCAACGCATTGCAATGCATTACGGTATAGCGATACATTACGGTATCCTAACATGACGTAAATACCGTAACGTATCGCAAAATAACGCAATGAAACATAAAATAACGTAAAACGTCGAAAAGTAAGCAGTAATAGACGCAATACATTTCACCACTTCAACGTATTTTATCAACTACATGACGAAAGAAAACGAAACCTCCGTCCTTGGCCCGACCAATGAGGTCATGTGGTGACCTACATAGCCATGCAACATGGTGGACTAACGTGGTTGACCAACTTGACCCAACATGGTGATGGTGGAATAATATGGTGACCTACATAGCAATCAACACGGTATGTTGATTGATCCACTATAACACCACTTAATATATGTGATGCATAAGCAATAAGGAAATATTACTAAGAGGTATGAGTTAAGTAGAAAATTTATTCACGAAGTGAACGCGAGAAAAAATATAATGAAAAAAGCTCATTGAAAGCTGAAATAATTATAATGAAATGAGCAAAATCAATGCTAGATATAATAATAAAAGTAGGTAAGTGAATTTTAGAATTAGAATGGTGTTCACAATATGAATTGAAGTGAATGCTAGAATGATATGGGTTGATAGAAAATGAATCGAATTTAATGCTAGAATGATACAGATGATCAATAAATGAATAAACGTGAATGATAAAACAACCAACAAAACGACTGATGCTAAAAGTAGAACGAACAGTAACTAAGGACATGAGGTAGAAAACGAAAAAATAAGGACTAGGCATCCGACAAGCTTGTAAATAAGTAGAAAAAAACTTGAAGGGAGAAGGCGATCTGATGTGAGGCGAGATAACAGACCTACGGCAGCTAACCATAGTGGACAGTCAAACTAAGTTACTAACCTAGTAACCTAACCAAGGTTGGACGGTCGCACTAACCTAACCATGTTTGACGGTCGCACAAACCTAACCATCTTACCATGTTGGACGGTCGCACATACCTAACCAAGGTTAGACAGTCGCACTAGCCTATCCATCTTTGACGGTGGCACAAACCTAACCATTTTACCATGTTGGATGGTCGCATATAGGCTACCTAACCAAGGTTGGACAGTCGCACTAACTAACCTAACCATGTTGGATGGTCGCACATACCTAACCAAGGTTGGACAGTAGCTCTAACCTACCTGATCATGTTGGATGCCAGGATGGGTCGCACAAACCTAACCAAGGTTGGACAGTTGCTCTAACCTAACCAAGGTTGGACGGTCGCACTAACCGAGCTTCAAGGAAAAACCGACATAGGAACCAGGAAAAGTGCCGAAAGTATAAATTAACAGGAAGAACCGAGCGCAGCCACAGCCACGCGCAGCTGATTTCCCAGACCAGCTCAGCTGTGACTTTGCGCAATGCTTTTCCAATCAGTCGCGAAAACTGCTCCCATTCCACTCTTCATAGAGGAATAAAACGACTACTTTTATAAGATATTCTTGTAAGTGAAAAAAATATGGTTACCATTTATTAAAATTTGTATTAGATCGCGTTGTCGTCGGGTGCTCGAATAATATGACCATGAACGTAACCTACAAAGCAGTTGCTAGATGTCGCTTGCGATGCTTTGCTGGCACTGAAGTGATTTTCGTTTGTTTATGTAAAATTAATTTAGTTTTAGCCAAACTCAATCATTGAAAAAGCTTATTTACAACAGCCATCATCAAATTGATCTCTAATTCCTTAGATGCCGAAACAAACTGTGCTAAATATTGTTCACATGGTGCAAGAAAAAGATACGTATTTGCAAGCAACTGCGTACGATCGCCTAAAATTATCTATACAAAATTTCAAGGAAAATTTTACCGAATTGTCAACAGAAAAAAAAATTGATGCTATAACTTGCCACCGAACTTTTTATTCAGTGGCAAGCTCAACATTTTTTTTTTTTTTGCAATTTACGAATGCGGAACTCGTCTGAAGTAGTGTATCGCGAACACGTCCGTGTCACGTGTTCCTAACCAAGTCCAGTGTTCCG